TATCTGGTTGGATTTTAATTCTGACCCAATTTGTGCAATTATTTCTCAGATGTAACTTAAATTGGTGCCAGTGTAAAATTTCTTCATGGTTTATGGGAATAGCTGGAAGAGTTATCTTCTTAATTGGCTTGTCACGGTACAGCTTTTATTTTTAAAGGCTAAAACAATGTGGCAAACTAAGAATACACAAACTAGGTAATTTTAAAAGAAATTGTAAATCACTTCCAATGAGCACATGGGTGGAAGCAAAAATTGCACTCTGATTAGCATCACTGAAATGCCTAAACTGCAGTTAATGAAAATGCACAGTAAGTAATCCCTCTGATGATTAAGATGTTCCTTTAACAAAATGTATTTTCGGTGTTCCAGGAGACACTTAGTAACAGAGAATTGTACCTCCACCTACTGGCAAATAAGGTTAGAGCTGTAATAGCTGAACTACTGCTAGAAACCTGTTCCTAAAAGCAGGAAAATAAGTTTTAGTGTAAGCAGGAACTGCCTGTGCAGGATTTAAACTGCATGCATGGTGTCTCCTTAGTATAAGACCTGCAAGTGTTCTTTACTTCTAAGAGTTTCTTGGTCCTTCAAGAGGTTCTTGTGGCACCAAGAGCTGTTGACTGTTCCAAATGATACAAATGTAATTTACCATTAGAAAAAAAGTGTGAAACCTATGATCAGATGTTACAAATTTTTTTACTGGAAAAGGGCAATCAATAAAAGTGTTTATAATAGTAATAATTCCAATATCAGCTCCTTGTATTACAGATTCTGTTCAAAATAATATTCTATAATACAGAATTTTAGTTCTTTAGATTAAAATATGCACATATTTTAATTCTGATCATTTTGTTTTTAAATTTGAACTTGTAGCAATAGACCATTGAAGAAAATACACTTAGACTGTCTTTCTTTCCTCTCATAGTGATGTCTGCTGTATTTTTGCTTAACTTCAATGCATGCTTGAATTGTTTCATTTGACACTGAAGCCTACACCTCTTTGAAAGGATTTTTTAGAATTAGCATTTGAGCATAAGGCTGTAGACACAATTCAGCATTTAAAAATAACATCATACAAGCTTCTTGAATAAACAACAGTTATTCCTGGTGAAGATTTTTGACGTCTGGTGTTAGCAACAATGAGTTTGGACCAGATGACTTTGAGGTCTTTCCCAATCAACATCCCAATGATTTTGTATTTTTTGAACCATCCACACAGAAATCCTGGAAATCTCCAAGATATCAAATGGGAAAGTCATGCAATATTGGTTACAGCTTGTGAGGAAAGTGAACTAATGGCCTCTGCATGCTACAAACAGATTGTGTGTGCTACAAAATGACTAGTGAACACTAAGTAATCCATACTTGGCATAGTGTAGCATGTATCAGAAACATCATGCATGTCATTAATTTCAGTGATAACTATAGCAGAGCAGATGCAGTGGAGTAGCACCACTGAAAGGTTTTAGAGGATAAATGTCAGATTCATCAAACATTATGTATTATGTGATAGGCTTATGCAGAGATTTAGCTTCCCAAATGATAGAGATTAAGGAGGATTTATCATTTTGTCAGTCCTCGTTGGCTTAGGTTAGAGATGGCTTCTCAAAACATGCTGACACAGCTGGTCACTATCATCATTTTAGGTATATCAACTTCTCTTTAAAGCATGCACAAAGAGAAAAACTCCACAGGTGCTGGGTATTTAGATAAAATAATAACTCAAACTAAGAAAAGAGAATGAAACAAAGGTGGTAGAAAGTATCAGCTGTCACAACAGCCAGCCCATTTCAGTACATAAAAATAGCTCTTAGTAAACATGTCCCTAAGTATTTTACACTTTCCAGTTGGCCAAAAGGATGAACATCTGCTAACCTTCTCAGGCAAAAGTGTAGTAGCCTTCATGAAGAATGTGGCAGCTGAGACACAGAGCATGAGTGTGCTAACAGGGCAGTATCACAAATGGAGAGTCTCTTAGGTAGCAGGAGCCAACTAGCTGGGCCTAGGGTGACCTCAATCACTTACAGCTGTAATGTATGCTGGAAGGCAGAACATGGGAAAAAAACAGTGTTCCATAGGTACAGCTGACACACACTGAACAAGAAACACTGTATATTATCTCCACACTGAGTGTTTGCAAAGCACAGTTGACAGGTCACCAAATTGCATCCAGCCTCACTAAAACCAATGAAGGTATCAGTGCTGGTGCTAGGATAAGAAATACCTTGTTCTGAATTAATATGAATGAACCTAGCAGAGGTCATGTGTGGAGGAAACAACAGCTATATATTCTCCAGCAAAGCTGAATATAAATATCTGGCTTTAATCTCAGTGACCTTGCTTTAGCCTCACTTGCTTAGTGAGAAATAGACTCAACTGCACTCTGAACTCAGTGAGAGCAAGATGAAAGTCCAAAATCAGCAAAGCATCCTTATTTGGCAGAGTTTAGAAGCCTCATCTAGATTAAAAATTGGCTTAATATGGCCCTGGACTGCAGGGAAAGACTGCAGTGCATTTATTTGAGGGCTTTCTTAAATCAGAGCCATGCATTTGTGTCCTCAGAGTATTAAAACCAGCCCATTAATGACTTTTCACTAAAGCTCTTAATCATCTGTCGATCAAGAAGAAAAAAACCAAAACCAGGAAAATTATATTCATTAAGTATGAATTGTTGGGTAGAGTCTTTTCCAAGACTAACAAAATATAATTTGTATTCCATGCCTTCCAAAACACCACAGACAAAGCTGGAAGATTCAAAAGCATTCTGCTAGAAACATTAAAGACATACTGTTATCAAAGTATATCTGTATGTTTAAAAAACACTCTGAAGTTGTTTATCAAGCAATTTTTCTTTCTTTAATAGGCCACCCAGAAATCTTTCCTTTAGTTATAACTCCAAATACCCAGGAAATTTTTAATTGCCGAGTTGATGAAGATGTCACAGAAGAAAATTGTTTCAAATGTATTAAAAAAGAGGACATCATTCAGGACCTGAAAACAAGAGCTAAAGTTTCTGATTTCTACCCTGTGAAAAAAGTTGTCTCAGTATGTAGCTTATTTTGTTCTCTATGTAAGACTTCATGCTCTCAGAGTATATATTCTTTTAAGGAAGAGGTCTGTCCTTGTTTGGTTCTGTTTAAATACACTAATGCTGTAATATCCAAATGCTATAGGTCACAGACCATTGTAAACTCAAAGTTGCTCATGGCTTGCCATGCACCATTATTTTTTTTACTAACTTTAGATTGAAAATATGCTAAAAATAGCATAAATAACAGTAGTTTTGATTGTGTCAACTGGTAAAGCTTCACATATTTGGCTTCCTCTAAGTCATGGCCTGTTTATTGAGAATTGTTAAAACAGTTTCTTTTTCTGTTTAATTCTCTGTATAAAAGATTAGCTTTGCCTCAGACTTATTTTTATTACAAAATTAAATCCATCTGTTCTTTTCAATTAGCACATGAAATTCTCTGTTAAGACAACAAAGTTAACCTAAGGTACTAAATTTACACTAGTGGTAACTTTTCCAGTCATAACCTCATGTTTGGTTTTTGTGCTGTTTTCAATTTTCCACTACTTGTTTTAATCAAAACAGGAATATCCAGGGGAAGAACTCTTGCTAGTTTTTGATGCAAAGCTCCAGTATGGACAGAACTTTTACATTGTTGCTTCTGAAGAAGCCAAGGAAAACCTTTTAAAGGTAAAAGCCAAGTATACCACAGCATTGCTCTATCTATGGATATTTCAGAATCTAGTCTTAAACATATACCTCAGGAATGTCACTTTGTTCACAAGCATCTGATGTTTCTCTAATGGTTAATCTGATCATGGAAAAATTTGTGACTCACTGTAAAAATATCTCCTATTCTAAGAAGGACTGAATTAAATGTATTTTACTTCAGAAGGCCAGTATAACCCCCACTGCTGCTTTTTTATCATCAGCATTCATTTTCTCTGCCAAGACCCAGATTCCTCAGCCATAAAAGATATTATATTGGGAATCTTCAAAGAAATATTATAATTATTTTTCACAATGTGCATGGATACATTCTTCAAATCATACATTTAGATGCTCTTGAGTCCTAAATAGCTCTAGATACATAGATCATTCCCCTTCTGCATAGCACTATAGGGGAGAGTTTATAGGAAAATTATATAATTTTTCAACACGAGTTTGTCATTCAGAATCAGGAAATCAGGAGAAGTACCAATTAAAAAAAGTGAACTGCAGTTCCAGGCAGGAAGGCCTACTGTAGGAAATCACTATAAATTCTTGTTGTGTAAAAGTAATTTGCTTTCAAGACAACTGTCTCTCTTTAGTAGCTAAATATGTAATATTTATTGGAAAATTCTAATGCACAAATGAATGGGACCTAACCCAGTCCTACCCAGGGGCACAAGTGCAGCCACAGTCACTGCACTGTGACAAAAAAAAAGAACGTGTGAATGAAGACTGAAAACTGGGCTTCTAGTTCATACTTACATTTCAGTACCAAATCTTTGAAAAAGTACCATTTCTCACTGTTTGATGTCACAGCCTCCAGAAACTGAAGAAGAAGAAGAAGAAGAAAATATAGAGGAAACTCTAGAATTCCATCCTTGTAAGGCTCTTGTCCCCAAACCTTGGGTTTCTCTTGGGAGTGAAAAGGAAGTTGAAGAAGAATCTGTTAAAGACACTGTTACAAAGGTCAGAATCAACAGATGTTAGTCAACCAAATATATATAAACCCCCAAATTTATTTTCCTTAAAAATAAATCAGGAAACTGGAAGTTGCAAACCTAGTTTTGCTTGGGGTATTTCAAGAAAACTAACAAAAGGAGAAAGAGAGAAATACCTCATCTTTAACAAAAACTGAAAGTGCTTCAGAATTTTAATTTTTTTTAAACTCTGTTCTAAGTCCTGCCAATAAGGCATATGGGACTGCATGGAACAAAACTACTTTTTAACGTGTAAGTTCAAAAGTCCTGATCATCTTTGGTCATTGGCACCTCTGACACTTTTTGCTCAATTTTCTATGTGGTTGGATTACACATTGAGTCATTGCTCTGTTTCCCTGAGACTCAGTGAACTCTGCTTCATTTTATGGATGACATTTAAGCAGCATGCAACACTTTTAAGTGTTACTGACTACAGGTATTACAAGCTGACTTTACAGAAGGACATATTTTATTAATTACATCTACAAATTATACTGAGAAAATTGTATATCCAGAAAGTAGATTCACTCACAGGTGTCACCTAACTTGTGATGTTTGGGGCATCTCCGAACATCTAACTGCCCATCAGTGATTTTTGCTCAATACCTAAATCCCTGTTCAAGGAAAACTAACTAAGGTTTGATAGTTCTCAGCAACTCTAGCAAGTTTTGATTGGTCTCACCAACAATGTCCAGTTTCTGGATACTTTTATATGTAAATTTTTATACTTTAAAAGACATTACATTGTTATACATTAAAAAGACAGTATTTATACATTCATCATTACATTTTTATATATTAAAGAGACATTATTTATACATTAAAAAGACATTATATTTTTATACTTAAAAAGATGTCTGATTGTTCTGAAGCTAATTCACAGTCACTAAATTGAATACATTCCCAGTCCAAGTATTCTTTATTCTACCTTGCTGGCAAGGTCCACTCAAAAGTATTTTTAGCCTACTTTCCTTGCCAGTTCTGTGGAAGGTTCTGGGAAAAAGTACCTGGCTATAAATCCAAGACAAAGTAATACCTCTAAAGTTCATGAAATCAAATGCATACTTCTCTTTGTGGGCAGAAGTCAAGCCACAGCCCTTTTCCTTCCTAGTTCTCACTGTAAGGAACCTCCTTTACACAAATTTTAGTGGATCCTCTTTGGAGTCCTTTTCTCTCCTTAGACATTGCAAGGAAAGCTAAAATTCTTCACCCAAAGTTGAGAATTGCACTAAGAGGGAAGGGCTGAAAAGTCAGATCTTGGAAGGCCAATTCAGTACTAGGCAATTGCAATTCACATAGTATCAAAATGTGCAGTTTAGATACTGCATGAATTAGGAAATGTGATTCTCTTGTCCTACTAGTATTAATCCAAAAATATTACCTAAAGGCAAGTTCTTGTTTTAGAAATTGAAACCTGTCTTCTATTGCATATGTAGGTTATTTATAAGAGCACTTCAGAATTTCACATGCAGAAATATAAGTAAACTCAATGCAGAGATCATCAACATAAATAATTCTACAATTGTGTGAATGCTGCCATTCTGCAGAGTAAACTTCCTGAAAACTTTCTCTCCTGCTAACCACAAACATATCTTTTGCAGATTCAGTATAAGATTTCTCGAGCACGCAGGAAGTTTGGTGCACCAATTACATTTACTGATAAGAATGCTTCAGATGTAAACGATAGTTATGCTGAATGCACATCCTATCAAGACACAACTTTCAGTATTAAAATACTTCAAAAAGATGTGGGGATACAAATGGTTCCTAAAGTCAGAGAAGCTAGTACTCAGACAAAATGGTACGTGTGAGAAAATATTTATCAGCTTATTAATCTATGCACTTTCTTACCTCAACTAAAATTCTGAAGTTAGTCACTTACAAATTAATTAAGAGAACAAAACTGGATGTTCTGTTTGCATCTTTCCTCTTTCACTCTTTTCCAAAGAGATTCTAGAAAAACTGAATATATTTAGTTTTTAATTTTACACTTGAAATGGTTTCTATACTTACGTTCACATTTACTCCGATTGGTTAGGATCTATCGAAAAAATGCAGCCACCCAGTATTTCTCTAGGCAGTTGTCAAATGAAGAGGAAGCAGAGAGTCTGTCACCTGAGAGCCTGAAGGAATTTCTTACAGCAGTACATTTAAGGTAAAGTCACTGCACTCCTTCAGGCTACCTGAAATAATACAGAACACAGGCAAGAATTCTTGTCTGAGTGGATCATTGGTCTGGTCAAATACCTTTTTTATATTTTGTTCCTATATAATTTTTTCTTATTATTGTAGTATTAATAAATATTAACATGTATTTCTATGAAAATTAATATGAAGTCTATGCCATACGAATGTTGGTTTCAATAGATATTAGAACTGCTAAAGTTGATAGTGATACATCTTTTCAAACAACCTGCAAAGCTGATCTTTCAAGCACTGTTCACTCAAGCAGAGAGTTATGCAGTGAACAAAGGTGCTGTCCTACCCATGGCTATGTCTGTAGTCATGGGACAAATCCTATTTGCTGATGCTTTTTGCACAAGGATTGGACAGTTGCCCTGTGCTTGGTCCACACAGAGCTAGAGTTAAATTCTTGATACAACAGCTATTTCTAGTTAAAGGGAAGAGGGTTTCCTTGCAATGATGCATCACTGAGGAATTAATACTCGATTTTTCTAACTGCTGTGGTCATAATTTTGTGTAAAACAAAAGCTGCCTCTTTACAGAATATTTGTGATTCTACTACTGAGTAGTCACATCTGGATTACTGAGTGTTAAATGTTTTTTTTGCAAAACAGAATGGAAATTGCATTGCAGCAAAATGAAATTATGAATCCTTTTTTTGATGACTGGAAGGCCCTAGCAGAAGATGAAAGCGGTTCTGGTGGCAAGCCAGATGTTTATCTTAAAGCATACCAGTCATTTACAGATCTGCAGTACCTCAAGGACAGAACCATTAGCTGTGTTCGCTGGCATCCAACCCTTTATGGTAATGTGGTTACAGTACTGATTTGAGACTTCAATGATGGGTATTATATGACAGCTATAAAATACACATCTCTCATAAAATTATCAGCTTTCAAATTTAAAAACAAATCAAAACTGATTTGCTATGCCTGTTTGAATGGCCGATGAGACAGACAAATTCTTTGTAAAGCCATGCAAGCTCCTTCAAGCTAATGTGTAAGTGGAGACCATAGGAATGAGAAATTTCTTCCTTATGAGGCTCATTCAAGCAGGGCTGCAACCATGCCAGGTCCTTCGGGTGGCTCTGCATACCACTGTCCCTCTGCCCATGGCTGGCTCTTGTAGCACGCCTAGTCCTTGTGAGGAATGTTACAGCCACAAAGGGACACAGCTCTGCTGAGTGCCAGGGAGCACCACGAGACAAACTAAATGTCAGCTCCTGCTCCCTGCTGGGGATTATTGCTCTACACAGCCAGGCTTAAAGGCACAATTAAGTTCTATATAAACGCCCCGGCTGCACAGCATACGACTAGCCAGCACTGCAGCCTGTGTAGAAAATTAATTGGGTTACAAAAGATTTGTTTTCATCATGGGTGGCCAGGACTATATGCTTGTCACGTCGTTTCAGGTGCAGTATTGCACCACTGAGGAGCAAAATAAGCTGCATTTTATCCTGATGCTTAGGTTCTATGACTCATTCTAAAATAATTTTAAGTAACAAATATAGTTTCCTCAAAGCTGATCTGAAAAATAAAATAAAAAAAATAAATACATGGTTGGTTTGTTTTGGGGATTTTGAGGGGTTTTTTTGCACTGTATCCAGAAGATATAAATATAAGTCACTTAGAATAATTAACAGCCTGTTGAAACTTGAATTGTCTCTTTTGAGAAAATGATTTTTCTCTCTCAATCAGGGATTATAGCAGTGTCAGCAAGACAGCAGCTTTCTCATGAAAAGCAAGTTAACCTGTCTAATAAATCATTGCTGTACCAGTCAGTAATACTTTTTTGGAGTTGTTTCGACCCTACCTGCCCTCAGGTATTTAATCAAGACTTTTAAATATGCCAAGTGTTTAAATAACAAGGTCACAAACAAATGGTGTGACTGAATTTCTCGACTGTTTTGTTTTCTTCTTTCTAGTTAATGCTGGAGTGTCCTGGAGACATTTACTGCTTTCAGTTCAGTCCAGGCAATCCAAATATCATAGCTGGTGGCTGTGTCAATGGACAGGTATATAGCCTTTCAGTGGTTTGCATCAGACTAAAGAGAAAATCCTTCAAAGACTTCATAAATTCTAGTGCAGAGTGAATTTATTTTTCCCAAACCCTCCACGTTTTGAAAAAAAAAAGTGTATTAATAGACAGGATGAAATAATTCATAACGTACTAATTTCTCATTGCAGGTTGTACTGTGGGATATTTCTCAACATGAAGAAAAACTGCAAAATGCACAACCTATTGCGGATGAAATCAAAGTATCAGCTGTTAATGTGGAAAATGCTGGCAGTATATCTGTATGTCTGTGGGGGGAAAATGGGTGGAGGTATCCTGACTCAAAAGAGAGGAGTAGATAAACTTTGCAATGGGAGACTAGAAAGGATAAGAAACCCAATGAGTTCATGAAATAAAGCCATTATCACAGTATAATTTCTACCTGATTAGTCCATCTTACTAGCTTTACTGTATTTTGTGCCACATAGGCTTCAATGAGCCTATTCTACAATGGGCACCAACATACCCTCCTTTCGTGCCTTACGAAGCCTATCAAATACAGATAGTGTCTGTTACTGAGTGTAATGCTGAAAAGTGTTCCAGAAATTAATGGGCAAAGAAAAAGTAGCTTAAAAGAGGAGCAGCAGATTTCAGTGGAAGAACACAATAAAGAGGATAAGCAGAAGACAGACCTAAGAGCAGAGGAGAAACTAATAACACATGTGGATGTGTGTGTGCCTGTGGAGGCATGTTGGAATTCTTTTTAGTTTCATATCCAAAGGCCTGTTTTGATGCTTTTTTTTTCCAAAAGGGTAGATGTTAGACCCCTAGAAAGTCCTATAAACTGAACTGAGATGTGTGAAGAAGCATTAACAGATTGCAAAGTAACCTCTATTTTATTTGACAGGTATACTATTTTATTTTGGAAATACACTAAGATATCTCTTTTTAAAACATTTCTAGCCATCACCAGTGCAAGTCCAGCAGAGTAGGACAGAGACACCTCTAGTGACATACTGTGCAGTCTCTTCCAAGGACTATAGTCATAAAAAGCCAGTAACAGATATACACTGGCTGCCAGATCATTTTGAGGTGAGCTGAAAAATTCACTTTTCTTCTCTTTATTGTTTTCCTAATCTAATACCTCAGAAATTCTAGTGTAAGCTCAAGATAAAATATTAAAGAGCCAATTATTTGTAATAGCCTTCATTATTTCTCACTGCATTTCCTAAATATTAAATAATCTGGTGCCACTTGTCCTGTTCATTTGCTTTACAACTGTGCTGAGATCTCAGTCTGATATGAATCTGCTCATGCTGGAAGAAAGTTCTGTAACTTTAATGAAAATTATAATTCAAAATTGCAATAAACCTTCCATACCTAAAATGTGTAAAATTTCTACAATGAGAAATCTGGCCTGCTGCCAGGAATTCCAAGAAGTAACTCCAATTGCCTAAATATCTGGGTGCCCAAGAATGGTGTTACTGTAGTGACCTTAATTCCACTAGGTGCTGCCTGTGTACTCAAAGCTTACATTTCCTGGGATGGTTTTAAAGCTCCATAGTACTTAGGGTCTATGTAGTCACAGGGTCCAACACTTTTCCAGGAGTATTGGATGCTCAATCACAATCAAAGCATGGTTGCTAGATTAATATGTAATGCAAATGTAGTCAAAAGCAAAATAAAGACAGTGGAAAAGGAAACCAAGAGGAAAAAAACCCTGAAATATTTGAAAGGTTTCTGCAAAGTAATATATCAATAAATTTTTGAAAAGAAAACTTGTAGGACCTCACAGATATTGCAGTTCTTAGCAACATTACCAGAAGAGTGAGGAAAAGGGTGTAAATATATCAAAAAAAGAAAGCTGATACAACTGTTCATCATCATCTTATGCTACAGTAATACCCATGGATACTAATTGGTACCAGATGTAAAACATGAAGAAAGGGATTGGATAGCAGAACAGTGTTGTGGTTTTTGTTGTTTGGGTGGGGTGTTTTTAGCCAAGGTTTAGGCCCAGAAAGCTGTTTATATGTTTACAAAGGAATCACTTCCTCAGTATTTAGCAACACATACTGGAACGTACTTTTTGTTATATAATCATGGAATATACCTCAGCCTTTGCACAGCATTGCAGTTGTTATGGGGCAGTTCCTAAAATCAGCAGTTTTTATACTTATATATTAATGAAAAAGCATTCAAAATTATATCCAGAACCTAATTCAGCTTTGCCTGGTTGCAAGACTTGATTAAGACTCCAGGTAGACCAACTCGTGAACGAAAATTACAGTAGGATTTAGCCTAAAACAAAAAGTGTAGCTGAAATTTTGCCACATGGTTGACAAATACAGATTCAGCCAAAAATAGATGTGTTTTGCATATACTGGAAATTATATTTGATCAGGGCTTACCCTGCAATCACTTGTTACTCCTGGCACCTTTCCTTTATTTTTCTGAGTAATTCAAATTAATCTGGTATAAACCAATAACTGCTTGGTAAATAATAAGTGGTATAAAACCTGCAGAACCTCACATATACAAGCTATCAATAACTAACATGTGAAGGCAGCACTACTATCCCACAGTGAGGTCCAGCCAAGGGATAATTTAAGATAGATGACCCAGAGTGTGAAGTTGGCAGAGATATATCACTCCCATTACAATGAACTGTTTAAGATAAAATTTTCAGTGATTAGCTCTTTGGTTAAGCTGCGTAAAAGAAGTTACAAACATGGCAACCTAAGGAGGGCTTGACTTGCAGTGATGCCACTAAGGATTTATCCTGCTGAGTTGATGTAGAATTTTAGGTGAGTAGCAGGCAAAGCTGCTATCAGTTCATTTGAAGTATATTTGTAAACTAACATGACTTTATAACTACAAATTAGTAAGTCCTGATTTTCAAATCTTGCCCAAGCAGAAAGAGTGACTTAATTTCTAGTAGCCTGTTTTGTGTGTTGAAGTACTTGTGTAGCACAGTGTGATTTTTTTGTCTCATCACCTTTCCCTGTATTAATTATTACTGTTATTTTCAGAACAACCAAACGGGTGATACTTCTGAAAACAGAGCTGAAAGTTTCCTGCAGCTTGTAACCTGCTCCCCTGATTGGTATATACAATATATAACCTACAAGACGTTTTCTAGTTTACTTTGGCAAGTTTTATGGAGTATAATTCATGGTGTAGCTAACACACTTCTCGATTCCTATCAGCATATCCTGAATAGCTGAAATTCTGTATGCAGAAGACAAGCACTTCAAGTTCTTGTCCAGTTAAACCCTTTACAGTACTGGCATTAAGGGATAATTAACCAAAAAACCTTGCATATATACATTTATTTCAGTGTGTACTACCTTAAGAAGAGTGTTGATCACACATGCATTAGCTTGGAAAGCCACACCCCCACTTATATTTGATTGTGTGGCATGCACAAAAAGCTGTTAAAAGATGCTAAGGTGACAGAAATAGGGCAACCTATATATAAACTTTGAGACTTAGCTAGCAAAAATATTCTGTATGAATCTCATATTTTGTGGGCTGAATAGTCATGACAGTTATGACCAAATATTATCCTCTGGGAAAGATTGGCAAGGGGGCAGAATGCCAAAAGTGGAAAAAAATGTTTAGCTTTCATGATGTCAAAAGGCTTAAGGCTGCATGGCTGGGCTCAGTCATATATCCATTAGTTACATCAAAAGGAGTGTCAGAGAGAGCAAAATTAGATAATGATCCAAAGTTATTGTCCCTAATCAAATAACAGAGAAGGCTTTGAAGAATTAAGTTAGAAGAAAGATTGCAAACACAGCTGTTAATAAGTTTGCAGTGTAATGAAGTAATATACATAGAACAATTATTTGAACTACTCACACACTGAAAGTATTTACCTAAAGTAACAGAGAAGTCACTGTAATATCATACTTGAAGAGCACAGATCTCTGAGCAACTCCTGTTAGAAATTAACAATGAGGAAAGTTATCACTGACTATATCAAATCTGTGACTGAATATCCAGAGTAGAGCAAAAGGGACAATCAGAGGGCTGAAAACTCCAATGAGATGACAGATACAAGTGACCATTTGCCTTGAATGTCAGCAAATAAATTAGTACATACAGAAATTGGGACCAAACTTTAATTTGGATTACTAGATTGCCTTCTAGAGAATTCTGCCCAGTTCTTTCAGCCTCCAGTAAGTTCACCCAGGAACTGTCCATGAGCCAACTGTGTGAATACTATCTAGCTGCTTTAGTAGAAATAACTGATGAAATGATGAATAAAGAAATATATTCCATCATTTACAAAAGAAGCAATTAAGTATCTTGTATTTGTCTGCTTTTCAGAGTCTATATTGCACTACAAAGTTTGAAGATGAAAGGTTAAAAAACCCCAGACTTTAAAAAGTGTGGAAAACTGCATCTGACTTCAAATCAAAACCAGGGGATAACATTATACAATTATTTTTCAGCTCAATATTATTTTGGGATATTCCAGACATCAAACTTAATGAAGAACCTTCATCTGAGAACGTAAACGAGGAGAAAAACTTTTATATGCCCCCTGATGTTCCAGACACTTTTGGGCTTGCAGATCTCTGCTGGAAACCTCTCATAAAGGTAGTGTACACAAATATAGAGATCTAGCCAACTGTAGATATAGACAGAACTCCATAGGAATGTATTCTTTTGCTTCCCAACTCCAATTTTTCCAGCAAATTGTGACTTCTTGTGATTTTTCTTCTAATTATGAAACTAAACACTTCAACAATCCTTTGAAACGACAATAAAATGCCTTTTAAAAAGCTAATTCATGAGAAACAGCATGGCTGATTCTTAAGAACTGAAGTAGGTGAAGTTGTGTAAAAAGTGCAAGTTCCTGTCAGCCTTTCCAACTGCTCTGCTGTCTGTCTCAGTGGGTCCCAAATGGGTGAAACATGGTCATGGTCAACAGACCCATAATTACTGGCAACCCAACATTCAGGCTCATGAAAATGGTCAAAGCAGTTTGTGAAAAAAGTGAGGCAGAAAACAATGTTAGGTAACAAAAAAAAACCCAAACCCAACCAACCAACCAAAAATTATAACTGTGGGCATGCTGAACTGTGCTGCTCAGAATAGCTGCAGCTGGTACAGTTGTTGAACAAGCATGCTGACCACTGGAGCTGGGATTTTTTGATAGAAACAAAGCAAAATTCTTATAGGAAAAGGATAACACAGAGAAACCACAGGTTTGCATTTTCTCTGTGCTTGCACGTGAGGTAGCAAATACTGTTTGTGGAGTATTACAAACACTCTGCAGGCTGAAAGAACTGTTCCATTACAGCAGAGTAATGTAGAATTGTACCTTGAAGGTCTGACAAAATGGTTTAGCAAATGCACTTCTTTCTGAACAGATAGATCTGCGTGAGAGTGATACCAACACAGGGTACAGTCCTGTCAGAATTAGTTTAAGGGAACTGCATTATCATTACAAAACCCAAGGTAACATTTTTATTATACCTTATTGGGGAAAGTGTTTTCAATAAGCTTGTATTTCAGTGTACACATCAGGAAAGCTGGGGAACAAAATGTTGTATGTCTAAACACAGCTGGGGAAAAGGGTTTCTTAAATATAGGAGTATTCAAAGTGCAGCCTACATGTATTGACTACAAAGATATTCATGTGTGCTGAATCCAAACTGAGCAGTACCACAGTAACTCTACCTGGTTTCACTTAACACCCCATGCAAGTCTCCCACCCCATCCCTTTAGCCCTGAAACAGTATGCCCTTTCCAGCTCCTACAGGATACTTTTTTAGAAACATAACCCATTCCCCGGAACAGAGATGTTAGCTCCTGGTTGCAGCAGCTACAGCAGATGTGTAAGGCAGTTCCCATGAGACACTGGTGGTGTGTAAAACTGGTGAAGAACAGGATAGTGCTACCTTACGTAGTTTTCTGGGCATGGGAAGCACTGACTTCAGAGCAGCTGCAGCAATGGGGAGATTCTATTAGAAAACAGCTAACCTGCAGAACTGCTGCTTTACTTGGCAGTCTTTCTTCATCTCTTCTCTTGAAATTCCCCTTATCCATCAACTGCCTTTATAAGACAAAGGATTTGCTTGGTCTGATAAATTCCAGAGTATAACAAATAGATGCAACCATATTGCTTCCCAGGGAAGGGAGAGTCTCAGAACATGCTAAGAACATGCCCCGAAGAGAGCACACACACAGAGATGAGTGCTTCTTCAAGCAAGTACCTGAAAATGATACACAGTGTGACCACAGACTTTTTTGTTGGAAATGAAGTAAGTGAAAATAATGCATTACCAATGAAAATACTAGTTCAAGATACCTGAAAGACTGAACAATTAAATAACAGAGTTTTCACTTGCATGTTTTCTTCAGGAGTAACTTAAAGGATCTTTTTGAACATGCCACATTTTATTTCCATTTTAATGCTTTTAGCTACATGCTTAAAGTAGGTATTGAACCCCCAATATTTGGTATATGATGAACCCTTACTTCAAGGGCAAATTGGAAGGCATTTCCAAAATCTGTTGAACTGAACTACCCATCAGGAACCAAACAGTATTTCCTTATTCCAGAATGCATAAGACCAGTAAGATTTTTTTAGTGTTTTCCCAAATGCTAGGTGAAAACATTAACACGAGTTTCTGCCCCAACTTAATTTTACTTCGAGAAGTCTCAAGCCACTCATTGCCCTCTGCCAACCCTATGCATGCAAAATTCACAAACCTTTCCTAGTTTTGAGTTCCTATGGAAATATAAACTTAGCTTCTAGCTACCTTTTTGCTTCTCGTCACCTTGTCCCCAAATAGTGGAGCAAAGCATGAACAGGCACCAATTCTGCAGGAAAGAAGTATAGGTGCCTACACACATCATGGTAAGAAAAGCTGCTTTGGCAATACATACCTGAAAAATGGTGATCCAAAATTTTAACATGTTTTCAGTTACTAGCTGCAAATTCCAGTTTTAATTTACTCAGACTATATTTAATGATCATTTTAATTAGGTAAAATCACAGCTTAAAAACAAGTCGCTTTCATATAAGCCACCAAGCTCTAACATTGGCATTTACTTCATTTTTCTGGCATTACAGAATGGAGAAATTATTTATTCTGACTGGAAAGTGGAAATCAATACTGATTCAGCAGAACCAGTTAGTAAGTTCAAGTTTCTTGATACCTCTTTAAACCTTAATATATCACTAACTCTTTAAGGCTCTAGAGCTCATCAGCTTTAATAGTCTATCTCCCTGATGACACCTGGATTTAGCAGTACACCCTTAAAAGTGTGGGCAGTTTAGCTGGCATGACAGAATAGCACTAACTGCTTGAGTCTGACAGGGGCATCTCTCTGTACCTGTAGGCACAAATCATGGAAGTAACCAGATTTGTGGCAATTCTAATTCCCATACCTATAAGCAAAAAAATGAGGCTAGTATCTTCAAAGCTGGGTCCTGTGCTCTTGACTGTGAATCATTAAGGCACTGGTTACAAGCAGCTATCTTTTTCATCCATTAGGTCAGAAGCAAACTCAGAAGTACACCCTCCACACTGAACCTGTCAACACTCTCCAGAGATCTCCATTTTTTAAAGACATCTTTCTAAGCATTGGAGGCCAGAATTTTGCCCTTTGGAAAGAAGGGGTTACAGTAAGTTACTTTAACACAGCTGTGACATAAATGATAGACATACAAGACAGGGCTGTAACAGCCTCAGAGACTGTATTTTCAGAAATGTTTCTAAGTCACAAAACTTCATAGTTTAGAAACAAATCATGTATAAAAGAAGCTTTCCCTTCTTCACATCAGAAAACTATTTTAGAAATAGCTTTGTAACATTGTCTTTTGCAGAAAAAGGAAATGAAGTGACTGTCTTCAATTCCAATCTTGTAAAACCCATAGTTTCTCAACTAATTTCTGCTGCTAGGGAAACAAAAGAATAAAGGAAACAATGTGCTAAACAAGTCTGAAGAACTTGTATTTAGGATGCAGTCTTTTAATCACATGAAGACAAATGTGGGGGTTTTATACAGTTCCTCTCATGCAGGAATCCAGGTTAGCTGCCCCTGAAAAAATCTCGACTGCAGGTTTCAACAGCAGATAGGGACATTAGTAGACTGGAAGTGAGATACCAGGATTTTTACTTCCCCACAATTCTTTATCTGAGGCAGGTGGTACCAATTGTACCATTGATATTATTTTTGTAATAGGATCATTTAAATTGCAAACATTCTCAAAAGACAGGAGATCTGAAGTAGTGAACTGATGGTACTGTTTGGTCTATCTTTTGTTTGTTTTAAAAAGAATGGACCAATCCTTCAGTCAAGCTGCTCATCAGGAAGATACACTGCAGGACAATGGTCCTTAACAAGACCAGGAGTTTTCTTCATTGGCAGAGATGATGGAACTATAGATATTTGGGACTTACTGAAGAAAACTTATGAGCTGTCTCATTCCCAGAACATCTCCAAATCAACCATCACTTCCATCAGCCCCTGGATTGCCTCACGTATGTTGATGGTGATTGCACTTTACTGTGCTACCCTGCTAGCAAAACAGCCCATGACTCCAAGGCTCATAAATCTTATTACAAATGATCTCAAACAAGTGCATACTTCCACCAATTTAGCACTGCACTGTATCTGCAAAAACACATTCATCAGTTCCAAGTGTACTACCATGGCATAAAACCAACTGAAAGCATTTAATTAAAACAAAAATAAAAGATAAACTAGAAAGGGAATTTCATTAGTTAATAAAATAAGAGAGCAATCAGGGTGACTTTTTTGCTGCAGTGAACAATAAGCCAGAAAGACCAGAACAAAAATGAACCCTCTGTATCTTGTGCTTGGGTGGAGGTTTGCTTTGCTGTTGGAATTTGGATTGTTTATAAGTTTTTTGTCAAATATATTTCAGCAGAGCAGCATTTTTTAGTTGTTTCGGATGATCTTGGAGTACTGCATGTTTTGGAAATCTGTCAAACACTAAGTCATCCTTCGAGGAATGAGGTTGGTAAGAATTTTTATTAATCTCTGTGACACTTTATCCTGAAAACTCCAACACAGAAACAGGCCTGCCTGGAAAAACTTGCCTTCAAATGATAGCAATTAATTTGAGATCAATATGGCCTTATTCTCCAAAGAGCCAAGTTGGCTTTTCACAGAGCTCAGACAAAAGCCAACAAGGGAAACATCTGTGACACTTGGTAGAATTCCACTGTCCCAACCTGGCTACATGAAATCACAGTAGAGTCCAGCTCTTTTTGTCACATCCATAAAAATGACACCTGTTTTCATGCATCAAAACAATGCTATATAGTGCATAGTAATGTAAATAAACTGAATCTCTTTTTCTTTACACCTTCTTGCCCACATTTCCATCATTTTTTCCCCTGTAGATTTGGTACTTCAACTTAGATATCTTTGTATCTGCTCCTAAGCTTAGATAAAGCACATTTTGCAAACTGTTGCTAACATTCCCACTCGTTCATGCTCTTTTGAAATAAGGACTGTCTGTACCAAAATGCCATGAGAACAATAGAAAAGGTTTAATTTCTCTTTATCTCTACATCATTTTCAGTTGTTCTTCTCCCCCACCTCCCAGACAGTCTAGCTTCAGTCTAGCAGTCTTGCCTGCTATCTAGTCTATTATTTTTACATCACAAAATCATCTTCCCACTCTATTGCAGTTTTAAGTATAAGTAGGCACTTAAACAGTTTATAAACATCCCACAAAGGTTTGCCATGCAAGATCTGCATGAAACAATAAAACGTCAGGTCAGCAGCCTCATTTTAGTAAAAATAACCTTTCCAAAGCAAGGCAAGAGCTAACTAAGTGCTATAACATGAGGAAACACATTCTGCACAAGTCACCTGTGTTTTGGAACTACACTGTTCAGGCTGCAAAATTATTAACATAGGAGCAGTCACTGATATTCAGATTACAGTCATTCTAACTGAAGTATTCACTGAAAAATATGAGGCTGTTAAAGAGACTAAGGAAAACTAAACCACAGAATGACAGATAAATGCACAATAAATACTCAAGTATGGTATTTCATAGTTTCTTTGTGTCTGAAGTTGGACACATCTTTATATTGTTTTGCTGCAAATTATTGGGATAACTGTAGATTTTTATATTCCAAATGAAGATAAACTAATAATATTCAGATCATCAGCAATAATTCTGTGTCCTTGCATGTGTAACAACCCTTGTTTGTTATTGTGTTAACAGCATGGCCACATACTTGATTACTTCGAAAGAGAAGTCAAATATCTGGAGTACTGTCAACAGGAGTTTCAAGAGTATCAGAAGTTTCAAGCCAAAACAGAATTGAAATGGAGCTGGAGGCACAGAGAGAAAAAACAGTATGTTATACTTGGAATTAAGAAAATTTCCTATGTTTCTTTGGGTCTTTGAAATGCACCTGTTTTGGTAGGCAGGATTCCCCATTTTCAGAAAATCAGGATGGACATAATCAAAACAGCTTAGCAGCACTATATTTCATATTTGCAGTTGCCAAGAGTGGTAAGGATGGTCCTAGTTCATGTGAGTGCAGTTCTTGGTCAAGGGAAACTTCTGCTAGAACATTAAAGTCTATGGACATTCAACAGCTATAAATTTGCTTTTCATTTTACATCAGTTGCTCACTCAAAATGTCACATTTTGCCAACTTCCCTATAAACACTGCTTCTTCAAGTGAGGATGGACTCCAGCCATCCATTCTTTACTCGCATAAGGACCTGCCTATCCATTCTTTGGTAAATGGTTTAAAAACATTAACTAACTAAATTGTCAATTCTTTGGCTGATTGATGTAGCCCTAGGTAATGCCTGTCTTCATTAATTTCTGACAGCACTGATCCACTGTGCATGGGGTCACATACAGGTTTCAAAGCTTAGCAGTGCATTAATTATTGCCTGGTATGTGTTTTTCCTTCAGAGTATGACTACTCTACAGAGAAAAAAAGGAGAGATGGAGGAGCAAGAAAATGCAAACTATACTGTGTTTCTGGACCTGGAGAAGCAGATAGTGATGCATTCAGAGACAAGAAATACTTTCCTCACTGGATGCTTAGAGCCCATTATCACCTTTAGAACCAGTGAGCTGTTTTACAGCTCTCTATTTCAGCAGAACATTTGGAAATAAAGCACCTTGCAGTTAGAGATTACTGTTTTATTAACTTTATCCATTTGTTTACTCACAGTGTGTTTAAAGAACAGTTGTTTTGTGCACACTTCCCCCACTAATTCTGTTTAAATAATAGTTTTCAAAGTTCTATCTGTCAGGACTCTGAACCACTTTCACTTGCCATCATCAGATTACAAAATAATTGTTACTTAATCCTGGCAAATGCTTACAAACAGAAAACCAAATCCATTAAAATATATTGTTCCCTCAAATAAACCAGTATTACTTAGAACAAACAGCTTTTACCAAGCACACTGTGGCTGTGTATTGCTGTCAAAAGACAATTATTCCTCAGAGAGATCAAATGGTGTTCTACAGAAGTTTTAATATTTACAAGTGTAAATGAGTAACAGCTCATGAATATTAACGCTCATCCTCCATCCACAGAGACAGCTCTTTGGTAAACAGTTCTGCTGGCTGCTGGGTTTCAATAGCCAGGTCAGACACCATGTAACTGAGCAGAGCCTGTCAAGCAGAAATTAAATCTATCAGAGGAGGACAGATTAAACTCTATACGGGTGAGTTCACTCTTTACCATGACTCACTGTTTGAGGGTCACAGACTCCTGTCAAACAAATGTCCATGTGGTCACAGTAGACACTAAAGCACAAAAGACAACTGACACACAGGGGATTTGCAGAGAGGATCTTCGGCTGACAAGCGATAGCCAACCCCAGTGCTCTGCTTCGTCAGACTAAAGCACAGCCAAATACAAAACAGGATCAGTGCAAGGCTCCTGTGTCCCAAAATAAACATCACAGACTCCTGTCAAACAAATGTCCATGTGGTCACAGTAGACACTAAAGCACAAAAGACAACTGACACACAGGGGATTTGCAGAGAGGATCTTCGGCTGACAAGCGATAGCCAACCCCAGTGCTCTGCTTCGTCAGACTAAAGCACAGCCAAATACAAAACAGGATCAGTGCAAGGCTCCTGTGTCCCAAAATAAACATTGCAAATTAGTTTTAGGCAGTGTTAAATACATGCCCCTTCAATTTTCTATAGCTAGGAACCCCTCATCATGTGCTCTTACCACTTCGGTTGAACTTTGGTCAGATTTAAGAGAGGTTTAGTGCCACCAGTTAGGACTTGGTTTGAAAGAGTCTCTTTTGTTAGTATAAAGTTTAAATATTAAAGCAATATTCCTTGCCCTCCATACTGAACTACCTCTAAACTAAAACCAAGGAACACTCAACAAGCATGTCCTTGCCACCTGCAGCACAGTGTTGAACAAACAGGAAGAGAACACAGTTCCTCTGCTAAATCAATATTTAACTAACAGCCTGCCCTATACAGATATGTAAATATCACACAACCAACTAATTAAAAAGCTCAGCTCTCTGTTATCAGGCCTGGACTTTGTTAGTACACCACCTCAGATCATCTTCTGCAGATTTTTTTGATTAACAAGGCTGGAAACTACATATCCATTCAAGTCACCCATATGGCCATGGCTTACCTGGAAAGCACAGTCATCTCCTCTCCACTGCAGCTCTGTCACCTCCCCCAAAAGAGGCAGCAGCCTCAATGGGAGCCTTGTTCCCCACCACAGAGGCACTCCTGAGAGTTTTGATTACAAAAATATTCCAGAAGACAGAGAGATTTCAGCTGGGTTTTCCTAACACTGAGGCCAAGGAGGCAGTAGATCAGGGCTTTGCTTAGCAGATCCTCTCCCTCACTAGAGAAAAGTAGTTTGGGGAGCTGCAGGAATACCACAATGGAAAGAGAGTAGTCTCCTGAAAAGCCATTTCCTCCTCAGCTCTGTTCCCAAGTAACACCAGAGACATGAGATTATACATCCCATCACAACCTTCTATCCTCTCTAATACAGTTCTAGACATTCAAATACCTGGTGGGTCAGCTTCACGAGGTCTCATGTCTGACCACTCCAATTTTGACCACAAAATTCTGTTGTTAAGACACATTACAGGTTTTCCTGCATGGCTCTGAAAAGGTCAAACAGAATGAAACCAGTAAATTCATTGTGTAGGATAACACTTTAAAAACAAATGTGTCATAGTTACATCAAAGTGTAACATCAGTCCTCTCCCACTCAAACAAAATAACCATCTTTCAGCTGTTGCTAGCTCCACAATGTGAGACAACAGCTCCTTATACCAAAATGCACTTTTATTGTAAAGAAAACCCTTTAACTTGGGATGGGGAGGAAGGTGAAGGGTTAAGATCCAGCAGCAGAAATACCAGATATGTCTCTGGCTTACCAGATTTATAGGTTTATTCTGCAAAAAAACCTGAATATCTGTTGGGGATGTTTCCCTCTATTTTTAGAACACATCTGAATAGCAGCAGTTACATTCCTTGCCTGGTACATTAACAAATATACACATATGGTACACATTTGGGAAAGAAATCTAAAACCCTGAGGTTTCTGTGGATATAAGTCTCCAGCAGCTCAAGCCAGCCCAAGGTCACGCTGCCACCCCTACTGCTCAACATCCCACACCATCCCTACCCATCTCTTGCAAGCTCCTGTAATAAGCCACTTTGGGAAGCTGAAAAAGAAGAAGCAATTCAGTGTGAGACAGCTCAGCCATGCAGCCCCAGCAGCATTTGGAAAATCCTGTTTAAACAAACAGGAAAGGATGAAAACTGTATGAATGGACCTAGTCTATTCCTGAATCCACATAAGCATATCATATCCTTAACACCTGGCAGCAAAGAATTGCACAGACCTAACTTTGCATTTCTGCTTTTCCCTGGGGACTGCAAACAACAATTCTTGGTTGTGACCCAGCCCAGCACTTGGCCATCACTGGCCTATACTTGCATATATCCATTTACATGTGACTTTGGTGCAGGTCTGTAAAAGCACCTGCATCCATTTCCTTTACCTGGAAAGCAGAGGTCACACCTCACAAAGTCCATGCCCTCCAAGGATATCTGCTCTCTGAACTCCACCACAGGCTCTGCTCTCTGCTTTTAACCTCTTCTAGTCCCTGGTGAACAGGAGCTGTTCCTGACATCAAACCAAGTTTCACCAAGCAGACAACAGCGAAGGTCAGGGCAGTAAGGGAGGCTCCTGGCTGTGCCATGGGGTTTGACAGGAGCTCTGCCCTGTGAACCACACACAGCCCAAGGCTGCTCTTCTGTGTGGAAAAAAAAGTCCATTACTGCTTGGGTAGAAGCAGGTTGTTTGACTCTTCCAATTTCATGCTTCCAGATTAGGGTAATTCCCACAGGAACCCTATTCCTTAAGAATCTGTAACAACCATAAAAAGAATGCAGTTTGACCAGATTATAAAATAATTGTATGAAATATAATGATATCTGTAAGAATATATATAAGGGATAACATATAACAAAACCACCACTTGGGAAATATCTCATTAAAAGAGGATTTCTAAGATACAAAATGTGTTCTACAAATTGTCGTAACTAAATTAACAGCAAATGTTTTATTTGAATAACACAAATACATTACTATATTTTAAATACCTAACTAGATTAACATTAATATCCTTTATCAGGTCATTCATTTCTGCTGTTGTAAGGTTATAATAACCAAGCTGACAGAGCAGTGCATTGCTGCCCTGAGTTGCAGACCTCTCCTGCAGAAGCAGCTTCCATGTATTCAAGATCTTACATGATCTGCATTATTACAGGCAATGAAAACTTAGCCTATCATTTATCAAACAGCTTGAAATGCAAACATCTCTCAACTAGTGTCAAATGAGTAGTGGTTTGGCTTGCTTTTTAATTACCTAGCTCAAATGTTGGGTCAAAGACAACAGAACAAAACACCTGAAAAGCTAAAGGTCTTTATGGAATTAATTCACATGTGCAGCCACTGCAAATCGGTGGCATCAGCTTAGCCAGGTTTAAACAATCACTAACTAGGCATAGACAAATTTTGTTCTTAATTCAAATTTTATTTAGAATTTAAATTTATAGTTTAAAAAGTATGCACATTCTGTAGGTATAAAAGTTTAAAAAAATACATCGATTTATTGATAAATGCTTCAGGTTAAATTTACATTTTCATACATTATCATTATATTGCAATAATTGTTTTGCATCTTTTAACACTTATAAAAAATAAATTAATGAGATTGAATAAACCATTGGAACCATGCTAAAAGAATTCCTTAGAAAAGAGGGGTGAAGTTTGCCATAGCAATCCTTAATTCCTTGCTACTGTAAATAAATAACTCTTCCATTAAGCAGGATAAGGAAGTACAGTTTAGCAGAAAAGCACTTACCCACAGGGTGAATGAAAAGCCATGGCAGGCTGCCAAAAATTGTACCAAAACCATGTAGAATTAATTCCTACCCTGCCAGCTGGCAGCAACTTGGTGTTTGACCTCTCAATATGCAAAACCCTCTCACCCCTGCCCACCCAAATCCCCTTTCCTCGGGAGAGGGGAGGGGTGGGTGTGACCTGTAGTGGACAAGGAATGACTCCACATTCCTTCTGGTTAGAGGGACTATCAAAACATCCGTATGCAATTTGGTAACTCTATTTCATTAAATCAAGAATGTGTTTCCTTAACATGAAGTGTTAGTTGCTCACCATAAATGACTAAAGATAAAAGACGGAGCAGATGGTGATAGTTGAATCTAGTAAGATCACAGTGAAGTGAAATCCCACCCAAACTCCCCAGGAGTAGTATCACTCAACCCATTCAACCTCACGGGACAACTCAGGTTTTGTGCAGAACTTGAGTCCTGCATCCCCAGAACCACAGCCCTTCAGAGAGGACTCCAACAAACCTAACTACCAACAGCCAAAGATTCTGCAACAAATGTACAAGGAACTCTGGAGAGAAAAGAAACGTACAAAAATATGAAGAAAAAAAAGTAACAAGTTACAGAGACAAACCAGAAATATTTTTTGAAAAGTAAATAACCTCCAGACATTCTTTATATATATTAAAAAAAAACATGGAGGAAGAAACAAACAATGAATAAAAAAAATCCAAACAGAAAGTGTGGTGTGTGTGTGTGTGAGAGAGAGAGTTAATAGTCAACACCTGCAAGCCAATGTCCCTGCAATACACAAGGTCACTTACATTAATCATTCACCCTGCTTTCTCTCTGCCCATGTATCTGTGCATAAATCAAACGTTGTGCTACCCAAGGGGCAACCTCCTGGCACTACTAAACACATCTTCCTAGAAACGAGGACATTTCATAATTCTGAGACCTCTCTGAAGGTGACTTACAGACACATGCACTTTTATACATAGATATATACAAACAAGGTTAGAAAAATATTTATTTTTTGCTTGTTTAAATAATTACTGAAAAGTGTTAATACAGGAATATGTTAATATTTGTACAATTAAAACTTTATATATAAATATTATATAAAGCATTTTTCATAGCAGCCATTGCATATATAGTAAAACAAGTCTATCTGAAGTCCATGCTGCAAAACTCAGGCCAAGCAGCGTTCATCCTCTTCCCAGAGGAACGTCTGTACCGGAGCCAAGATTTCAGGAATGAGGAGTTCTGCTGCCATTGACAGCAGAGATGTTGCTTTTACCTTCTACCAGGTATTGTCCAGGCCACCTAAGTGCATAGTGTTTTTGGGAGAAATGCCACTATGTGGAATCATTTCACAGCCTCTAAGTTTGTCTCCAACACTCAAACCAGGACAACACTTTCTTCTAACAAAAAGGCAGAAACATTAAGGAATGGCTTAAAATGTGCTAATGCAAGGTGGGCCATGGCCTTCCTTACCACAAGGCGCTGAGGGGCACCATCTCTCCTCACACAGCTGGGGGAGCTTGGAGGCACGAGGAGGAGACGTCATGCAGGACAGGATTTAATAACTCATGTTCAGCTTGTTTTTATTGAGTTCCCTTTCCAGGTTTCCTATCAGCGTATCAATACTTTCCTGCAGATCTTTGAGGTTTGCTCTGTGATCCACCGCAGAGTCTATTGCTTGCACTGTCAGATAGCTCTGAAAGGTGTGATCTCTGGGGATGGGCTGAGGGTGTCCTCCTGGGGCTTCCATCTCCTCAGCTTTGCTGCTGTCATCCCCACTCTCTGTATCTTCTGAAGGGACATCATCGTAGTCTGCTTCACTCAGGCAGTCTTTGGGGTTTAAGAAGTAGTTCTCCCCACAACTGCTCCAGTCCCCAGCGTAGCGGTTGCTCGATGGGCTGTCTAGACCTGCTGGCCTTGGTCTGAGTACCCCAGACATCTCGGTACCACTGAGATTCAGCATCTGAGGTCTCTGCCTCTTGGGTCTCAGGTAATTCAGGGAGGATGGGTGCTCAGGAAATGCATTCAGATGGGCTGGTTCTTTGGCAGGCACGTGATGAACTAGAAGAGAGAAGTTAAACCAGTCAGGACAGAATCCATGCTGCAATAAGAGAAGCCCACGACAGATGCTCACTTTCCTTCCTTGATGTCACAATGCTAATAGCATGCATGAATACATGCAAGCTTACAGCCAACACATTCCACTGTTACGGGTTTTTGCCAGTGTTTGATACAAGATAATTAGAAAAACTACTGTAAAAGGTCAGTTCTGAAGATTCATGCCAGGTTCAAACTGCAGTAGAGAAGCCTATCTGAAAGTAGAAACTCCCAGAACACCAACTGAATTCCCCATGCGAGTTAATCACCATCCACCTCTGGGTCAAAGACAAGCAAACAGCTCAGCTCACACACTTCATCCAGGCTAAAGGAATCACAGAAGCAGCACATCAGAAGGGGTTAGAACACAACCAAAATATCACTGCTGAGAAACACCTAAAGAAGCTGTGACACACCAAGAGCTGAACTCTTGTGCTTCTCTTTTGCCCTCATGTTCTCTGCTATGAAAGAAGCTCATTTGCATCAATTTTTCTAGGCAGCCTCTACCCCATGGCAGACGTACACTCACAGAGGTTTGATGGCAATGTTACCTGAGCTCACAATTAGACAGTGTAAGCTACTAACAGGCTCCTCCGCTGTAACCTGCTTCCTACAGCAAACAGCACAACTGTTTTTACTGACCTGTGCTTATTACCTATCTGAGCTGCAAAACCCCTTTTGGTTTTATAGACCATTGCCTCTTGTAATAACCAGCAGACACTTTTTATTGCCATTCACTGCTGAAAAGGTGGTGCAGACAAACCCATGCAGTTCACAATCTGCCCCCTTCCTTGTTTGACTCCTCACACACAAGCACAAAGGCTCAGTCCTGAGATGTGCTCAGTCCTCTTTCTGAGTCCACATTACAGGTCTCTCCAGGGGATTTCAGTCTTACTTTACATCTTGCACAGGAACATGCAATAACTCTCACTGCTTTTTCTTCCCCTTTTACTATAACAAAACCCCTTCTGTTTAGACTATGCTCCATTAAAACAAAGGGCCATGGGTTAACAATAACTTGCCAGTGTTACACAGTTTAACCAAACAAAGGCTATTTGTTTTCAGTTGGAAATATACGGAAATTGAAGTATTGCACAACATGTTGATTATCAAGCTGTCTCAGTCTACAGAAGATTAAACGTAAGGGACCAGACTGTGATCATTCTATTCAGTCCAACTGTTCTGTTTACACTGTGTGGTGTTCACCTACTCCCTCACGTCTCTGCATTTGTGTTCTACCTTCCTCTTAGCACAATGTCCTGTACAGTTCTTGCAAGCCAAGGGAGAGCATTCAGCTTTTTCTTCAAAGTGAAGGAAAACTCTACCACTTACCCTACTCCTGCCCTGTTACAGCAATGCACACTCCTACGGGCAGAACTACATCCACTTGCTTTTGTGCCCCACAGCTGCCAAGCCATAAGCCTTCCCCAGGGTTTCATCATTACCTCCTGCACAGTATGTGCTCTTGGTCTCTCTCTTTCTCCACTTCCATTTCCTGTCTCTCCTGAACAAACTCATTGACCTGACTGAAAGCTTCTTTGAATTTTTGGTGGTCAGCAGCACCCTTCAGGGTGGGTCATCACAATCCCCAAACTCCCTCATTCAGGTGTGGAAACCTTACTGTCACTGGGGTTTTTTTCCAGTGTCTTTACTCACATAAAGTACACTTCACCATTTCTTACGTTACACTCAAACTCTGCCATCTGGTAAGAAAGCAATTAAAACAATGAACTTCCCATTAAACAAACTGGCCAAATACAAAGAGTAGATTATAAAATTCTCATTATTTCTTTCGATTAATAGGTGATGCCATTGTACCTCAAGTTTTAAGAATCCCAATGCTGCTCAGTCATCCTGTGAATTAACATATACTGTCACACAGTGAAAACACAGCAATGCTTTGACTTTTTCCCTTGATCAGATTCATGCAACAGTACCTGGCCACAACTGGAGTAAATAGTGAAGAACCTCTATGTGCTTTTTGAAGTCCAGGGCACTAGCAAGTTCTTCTGAGTCTGTGAAGACTCTGTTGTTGTGGTTGGTGGTCTCCTGCCTCTGGCTCAGTAACACAGGCCCAAAACATACAGCTAAATTCTGGCAGGTCATCTTATTTACTTCGTGGTAAGAAGCCACCAGTTTCAGGTGATCCAGCAGCATCTTCAAGGTAGCCTAAAGAAACAAAAAACTGCTCAGGAAACAAATACTAGACAAAGACAGTGCTGACACACTAACGGCACTGCCTCACCAAAATGGGCTAAGTGAGGTTTTCTACAGAGATGAATTTGGCAGGTAACAGTGCACAGCACGGAAAATAAAGGCTTTATTGCACATACTTAGGAAAGATGAATGCATTTTCCCATGCAATAATGATATACAGATCAGAGAGACCCACAGAAGTGGAGCAGGACACCACACAGCAATCACCATTGATCTAACAATGTTAAAAGTAGTGTTCACAGCTTTTCATTCAGTTTTACAGAGGCAATATAAAATGAAAACTAGAATACATCCAGCAATGCAGAGCCTCTAATTCATGCAAGCACAGAAGTATTTCATGTGGCACATCCTATATCCAAGTGAACCATTAAGTCCCATTAAACAGGCATACACATTTTGAGACATTTTATATCCAGTGTGAAAATGTTCCTTTATTTTCTGAAGCATGCCATTTACTCAAACCTGCTAACACTGCTCACCTTCTCAACATCTGGCAGGCAATCCAGAAGGGCTGCTGTGTGCTCAGAGTCACTTGGGTCATTCTCACAACCACTTGCTGTCATTTTCAAGGGATTTTTCACCATGGCATCCAACACTGCTTCGTAGAGCTGCTTGGTTATCAGGGGAGAGGGCAGCTCTCGCAGATAATCCTTCAGGACACCTTCACAAAAGACACAAGAACAGTTGCCTTTAACAAGCTGCAGATTTACTTTCCAGCATTCTTTGGGAGCATTAAGGCACAACAGCTTCAACCATCCCATGAGAAAATCCTCTGTGTCAGTGACAAACCTTGCCCTCAGGAATGAGGCATGTGAGGACAACAGCAAAAGGGCACAGCAAAGAGGGGCTGGGGCACAGGGGCTGCTGCCTGCGCAGGATGGGGATGCTGGGCACAGGGTGAGCATCTCTCCAGGCCTCCCTCATGATCAGGGTGAGGGAGAGGCAGGGTAAGGGCTCTTAGCAGTCCAACATCCATCCAAAGAAAGGAGCTCCTACAAACACCAAAGTCTTCAGCTTGATGACCACTCCACTTTTATATACGCCTGGCGGTTAGTTTTTCTGTTCCATTTGTTTTCAGCTATAAAATTATGAGCAAACATTCCAGTGCCAGTGGCACATACAGTAAAGCACACAGAGTCTTCTCACCTACCAAAGCATAAACCAAACAGGTGTTCTCATGAGAGGGAAACACCAATTCCCCGTTGCCTCGGGGGAATGGGGAATTGGTGTTTCCCCAGCACACTACTCACTTTTGCCATGACAAATACAATTCACATCCACAGGAGACACTGGCTAAAACACGCAGACACCGAGCCCTCTCTGTTGCAGACATACTGCTCCATGTCAGAAACTGGGGATATACAGCAGGAGAGGCTGTTCCCAGGGGATGCAACAACCAGGCAAGTACCTCACTAACTCCTGTTCCTTGCAAACAACCAAAAAGGAATTAGCATTTGCATTCTTGTTAAACTGGCTTTGGAGGCTGGCTGATACCTCATTTTGAGAAGGGTTTCAGTGATTTTTAAGAATAATAATTAAAACCCCCAACACATTAAGATTTCTAACAGCAACCTCCAAAAAGGACCTAACAGGACACTACCCAGGAGCAACGTATCCAATACGACCAACAAAGAAAACCAGCAAAGAAGGCTGCTTCCCAGCAGCTTTTATTTGCCTCAACATACATGCATTCCATGCCACAAATATCTACACATTTCAGCTAGATCACAACCGAATTCAAATACTTTGTTAAGAAGAAATGATGGATTAAGAAAGATTGTTTTTAAGCAGGCACTGTAGTTAACAAAGCAGGTACTGTAGTTCTCCAAGCAGGCAGAGTTGGAAAAGTAGAAGACTTTTTAACATGCAGTCCTCCTAGCCTTGTAAAATCCCACATCACAGCAACGACCATCACTCTGCTATTTAACAAAGCAACAGTGTTCATTAGCTCAGTCTGTATGACCATGCTGTAAAATGAACTGCACAGCAGTGGGCTTCGTGATGAGGTTGTTTCTAAAAAACATACAGGGAATGGAAGTTAACGTTTTGCCCTTCGTAGCCATACTGGCACACAGAAAGCAAGCCATAGTTGGCTTCTACCTGTACATATATTTTAATTTTAAAACAATACTGCACACAGCAGTAGTGCAGGTACTGAAGCTGAGTTGTGGAAGCATCACTACCTGAAGCAGCATCCCTCCCTGGAGCTGCCAGACCATCTCCCTCTGCGGCATAGGCACGGGGCAGTCAGGCAAAACTTCTGTCTCTGCAGAGCACCACACAGCTCCCAGGAGCTCACTCTGTGCTTAAAATAGGAACACCCCACCAGGAACAGAATATATGCAAGCAACCATCCACATATTTTCCTAAACGACTATTTCCCCTGGTGGTTAGGTGGGTGTTTGGTTTGTTTTAAAAAGAATATGCCACTTCTGGTACCGTTCCACTTAAGTGGCTAGATTTGTTTAGCAAGTTACTCAAATTCCTCCCTCCCCACCAAATATTATTCCTTCCCCGGATTTAAAAGCTCATGTTCCATATGTGGATTAGCTGGTTAAAATATTTATGAGACAAATGTGGCAGATGCTGGTGCTGTACAACACAGTTTGGGATATTGTTCTTTTTTCCTAAGTAACACACTAGCAAGAATTGTTGACTTTTATCAGGAACTTTGATTCAGCTGTGCTTTTATTTTTTGGAGGGGGAGGCTGAAATCAGGATCAGCTTACAGTAGGAAATGGTATGTTGTAATCAAATCAGCTTATACTGTTGAAATACAACCATCTATTAATAATTATTTAGCAGGAATTCCTGTAATAGCATCCACAGTCATAGGACTACCACCTGCCAAAGGCCTTGCTCCTGTTCAGCCCTGAATAACAGGATGGTTTGGGAGCCATGAATGCCCCTTGACCTTTCTAAATCCTTTTGCTATTCACTCAGCTAAATTAGCCCTGTAAGAAACTGCTGTTATTTTTTTTCCATGAATCTCTGCTTCCCGCTGCTGCCAGCCCACTAGCACATTCCTCTTGACACCACCACACACAACAAATTTAGACAGAGAGCAGAAATTGCCATCCACTTCATTAATTCCTCATTTTTCTGACCCACTGAACTGTTAAAGAGTATTGCAAGCTTTATGCAGAGATATGAATTCACGTGGATGTGACAGACAAGATGCAACAACATGACTACTGGTCAGCTCCAAAAACCAGCTGCATGCTTCAGTCTGAGCCACAAGCACACTTAATTGTGTGTAAGCCTGTGCCAATCCCAAGAGCATTTCTCAGTCAAGATTTAATCATTAAATGTTCATTCTTTAGTCTTTGGAGAGCTGTCAAAAAAAATTTTTTTTAATCTTTTTGGAACAGAGAGCTACTCAAATTTCAAAAGGACATAAGGCAGCACTTCTCTTCAAATCAGCCAACATGTATGCTGAAGATTCATATTTTATGCAACACATGTTTTGGCTGATAGAAATATGAATCATGTGCATCAGCCCCTGCATTAAACAATCAGGGGAAAAACTGCCCTTCAACCCAACTCCTCAGCATACGCAGTAAGTTTGGTGGGCTCTTTTATTCCTAGTTCCACTATCAATCCAGACTAAACAGTTTAAAACAATCAGAGTGGGCTGCATTTTGGTCTGCAGAAATGTTGGGTGCAAACACCCCTTCCCTCCCTGCTCCCCCAAAACCCACACAGGACTCCTGTTGTCAGTCCTTTCAACACAACACTGACGTGGGCACTACAGACAATCATACAGCACAACTGCAGGGCTCCCGGGGGAAGGAATTAAATTTTTTATGTAATTTCTTAAAACTATTCTTCCCTTGTAAGGAAAGCAGCATGTAAGTAAGCTCTTGCAACAGAATGCTTACAAAAGCATAGCCAGTAGTCTGTTCCTAAGGCAGACACCAAACTTGTAGTCTTTTCACTCTTGCAATACAAACTCTGCATGCAAAATGTACTTCAGTTGTACCACCAACAAGCAAGACCTGCATGGTCACCAGAAGTTCACCCCCAACAATGAGGCTTGCAGCAATGAATATTCTAAACTTTCCTATTTGACCACTAAAGCACAAACGTGTGATGGAAAGATCAGTCAAGGCTGTGCTGCTGCCCTTTCAGGGCTTTGCATCAGTGTTGGGCTCTCCTGCAGTTCAGGCTTTGGTTTCAGCCAGTTCTGGTTGGTACTGAGTGCACAATGTGCTTGGGAAAATCAAAATGCTTAGCAAATGTTACAGGTTCTTTTGTATATGGATGAGTATTAAATTCCTATACCCTTTCCCTGGGATACTCCTGAGCCATTTCTACAAATACTGTTTTATTTCCATGATGACTTGTAGCATGGGAGTGCAATGTCATTTTTAGTATTCTAGAATTTTAAAAAACCCAACAAAGTCTTCCAATAGCCCAAAGTTTACAGAAACAAAATAGCAGTTTTCCATTTATCCGCTCACAAGTCAGTATGAGACAGCTTCTGATGCTAGGCAGAAAGCAACTCCCTTTTGAGTTGATTTACAAAAATTGAGAAAATAGGACTTCGGTAATTTCACAGAACAATCTGATCTTGGAATTTCTCACCACTTTTTGTCATTAATTTATTTATAAAGAGAAGAAAATTGTCCAATTTGAAAGACCTTTTATACTATTTACCTTTACCATACACCTCATATAGGTGCCTGTATAGGTTGTGTACCATGAGGGTAAAACAGTGGTGGGTTAAAGGTTGGACTTGATGACCTTAAAGGCCATTTTCAACTGAAATGACTCTATATTGTATAAATACAAGTTTCTGCTGCTGTGAATGCTGGTACTTGGGAACAACACTGAAGTCCACAGCAAAATTAGCCAAGGCAAGTAAGGCAAACCAACTAGCTGCACATTCTGAACCCAAATGTTTATGTAACTCAGTAAATGTCACCGAGTAATACCTTCTGATGCTACAATGTGCAATTATAAAATATAATGAACAAAATTCATTCTAAATACACTGAAATGAAATAAACCACTGAACAGGGTATAACTCTTCCATACAGGTGGATGTTGGATGTTACAGAAAGGGCTTTGGCACAGAAAATTTATACCCCAACTACTGTTGTTACATTTTCCATCCCTTGATATACAGGCAATGAATGCTTCCGACTAATTTCCCGGAGCAATTGGCTTACTCAGTGATGCTTGAAATTAGATCAACTTTGGATTACATAACAAGTATCAATAGTTATAAAACTGTTCCACTTTTAAGCAAACAAAAAAAACCCTCAACAACTTCAGTTCTGCAGTGCAACTCCAGTGAAGAGACCCACGTAAGGAGCTCATGGAGACAGGCTTCCCAGGGCCTCATGCTCCTGCACTTCCAGCTCTTCTTACCCATGCTGGGAGCTTGCTGCATGGCACAGCAAGTAAAGGGCCAATCCAGGAAGCAGAAGAAAATTGCTACTTAATAAGGTTTAAAAAAGAATGTTATCAAATGAAGGCACTTTCCTGCAGGTCTAACCAGCCTGTACAAGATCATGGGAGATGTGTTTCCATAACTCCTGCAATCACCAACATAAAGGGGAGAACAACAGTTGATCCAAGATGGGCCTTGGGTCACAAGGTCTGGAGCCACCAGCACAGCAGAGGTGCCTGAACACAACCAAGTTTTCCCAGATGCTCAGTCAATACAAATCAATGGCAGAGGTTTAACCAGCTCCTTTCAGATTCCCACTTCGCTCTGTAACAGGTGAAGCAGGTACTGAGTGCAGCTCCTTCGTTGTTCTCCTCCCTACAAGTCTCTGCTACTTCATTCATACTTCCCCAGTTCCTGCACTCGCTCCCACCCAGCTTTCAGCAGTACAAAGCAGCAGTTAAAAACTTGTCTAAACGACAGCAGAAAACGAGTTCAGAGCACGACTTCAGGTTTTAAAAGGCACATTAGGTAAAAGGCACAATTCTGTATTAAAGAAAGGCAAGTAAATGTGTTACCTGTTATGACATTAATATCTGGGTACTGGCTCTCACAGAGGGTAACAGCCTTGCTGTCCCTCTCAAATGCCTCTCGAAGCTCTTTCTTAACGGCGGCTGAGCCACACAACCGGTACAGTCCTACCACCTGGAAGCAAAAACAATGACCCCACGTCAGTCATCTGCCTGCAGAGGGGACCCATGATTGACATCACGTGTTGCCTCATCCAGAGAGTGCAACAAAAACAACCATTTGGAAATGCATGTTAGGAAAACCCAAACAGTGCAATCATCAGTGTCCCCATACACAGTATGGGACATTCCACAAGAGACAGCTGGGGCTGTCAAGCAATAAGTGAATGACGCTGGTATTTTCACAACACTGAACACGCTGAGCAGTGTTCTATTGACAGAACACAAGGTTTAACTTGGAATTGTTCAATGTTTTGCTTTTACAAAAAGTCAGGGAAGAAAGAAATGCAGATGAAATGTAGTTGCTTCTTGCCCTGCTCATTCAGATCACCATAATTTTTCCGAGGATAATTGTTTAATTATACAAGACAGAATTGGAACTTCAGCAGAAAGAGGTATTTAGAGCTTTATGTAGACAAAATTAGAGTACATCAAAATACAGTTATTAATCATGAGCTAACTAAAGCAGTCATACAGCTAGCTACTAAAAACATGAAATGCTACAAAGCAATTAAAAAACACAAACCCAAAATAAACTAAAAATGTTTTCCTACAATATTGTTACATAGCAAAAGCATTTAAAGTTTAATTTTATATCCGCAACCAGAGTTTCAAGAAAATAATGAATACTCCACTATTACACCTATAGTATGTTCTTTTAAACATGACAAGATGCTGATTTCTGTGTTTCAAATTAGATTTAAAGTTTTCTGCAAAGTAGAGGTTATTTAACATGCTTAAGGTGATAGGAATGAAACCTATTCCACTTTTGAACTGAATTACTAGTTAAATCATGTGTTTTCCTGCATTTGAATTTTACATTTTATCATTATTTTTCATTTTCAGCAACAGCATTTATACAATGCACTTCAACAATCTTTAGAAACTAAGTCTTAAAATAATCATTTTATTTTAGTCAACTTTATAGGCAACTGTACTGAGCAGTAAATGGTTAGTCCAAAACTACCATGGAGTCAAGACAAAAAACCCCACCTGACTTAGCCTTTACTGGCTTATGACCATGACAATGTAAGTCTGCAAGCAAGAGTTGTCTGGTCATACATTAATTTCTGTTTAAACAAATGGAAAGTTACCCAATGGAAATTGTACTCCCTCTTTCTCAAAACTGAGTATCATCTAGAATATGCCTAAGACATTTTCTCTTAACTTTCAAGTTTTCTAATGCCACACCTGAAATTCAGGTGGAGATAATGCACCATGACAGTAGTCTGCAGTCAACAGGAAAGTCAAAAATGTCAGACAAGCACGTGGTTAAAAGAAGAAGTTAACAGTATATTTTGCATTTTTGGTTCTCCCTGTGCAAATATAAAAATAGATTTCATGCTCAAAAGCACCAGGTACATTCAGAAAACTCAGATCCCAATCGCTTCATTACCACTCCTGCCTTGATTACCCAATATCATTTGCATGACTAGGTGCTAATAAGCCCAAAATAAAATGCTGAAACCATGGGTCACACACATTGGAAAGAATAAAACATCTCTTTTCCACTGATTTGCAAAATGTTAGGAGAAGCATTCACAGGAAGAATTATACAGTTATTATCAGCAGTGAATTTCAGCAAAAGAACCACAACCAAGTACCATTTCTCTCTATAGTTTGTGGCCCAAGTTATAAACAGCAGAGTTAATCTCATCACACCTGGAAGTATATCCAACCTGTCAGCAATTTAAAATAGTAACAGTGGTAGGTGTGATTACTTCTCAATTTCACCTGAATGAGAACAGGTGTAACAGATAATAAGGGCTCATACATGCTGTGGAACGGCATGCAAGAGTTCTCCCACCAGTTTCACATCAATTGCCAAGGGAAACATCTGAGCTTAGGACTCTGCACAGTCTTCCCTAACAGACTTCTTGTCTATCATCCATAACTGGTGTTTTGTTTCCATACCTCGTTTCTCATATGTACTTTGGTCTGTTAGATTACATCAACCAAGAAAACTATACTGGGATGAAGAGAAGACACTGGGCAATGCTGCTTTACAGCAGTCCTATTTGTGAGAACAGCCTGAAGACAGACAAGGAGCAGTGCTGTGGAGAAACAACTAATTCAGCCCTTTGGGGTCTCCTCCTCATCTTAATGCTGTGTACAAAGTGATGGCAGAGACAGGTCTTTGGCACATTGGCTTCAGACTGCACACGTGTGAGTCAAGTTTTGACAATAGACCTGTTCCTCATCACTTTGTGCCGCTGCACATGGTGTCTTGGTTTTGGGTAGGAAGGAACAGCATACCACATTGTTTTTACATTTAGACACATGTCTCAGCAGAGCAATCTGTGCCTCAGGAATTGAGCACATACAAGTTCTCATCTCATCTCTACACACTGGAGACTGCAGGTTCACTTCACTATCCCTACTCCTAAAGCACTGCTGGGAGCAGCTCCTGTGACCCAGGGCACTTTTTCTCTACAAAGGCCAAGCTGGAAGCACTGATTGCACACAGTCCTGTTATTTTTCCCACATTACAATGGCCAGTGCACAGCACACAGAAGCAGCAAAGGAAAAAGATTGACATGTAAAGACGTTTTTAATTTCCACTCACCGCTCACACTGCAACAACAGCTATCTTGACACAAAAATATTGACAAAAGAAACTGAAACATGGACTGTACCTGACAGCCTCTCTTTTCAATCTCCAGAATGCATTTCTGCAGCAGAAGTGGCACCATCAAGCCTGCATTTTCCTTCTCCACTACTTTTCGGGCATCTACCCCAAACATCACAGGCTCCCGATCTGCACCAAGGCCATCGAGAGAGTTCTCCCACTGCTCCATGAGAGACAGCTTGACATAAATAAGCCCCCTCGGTTCCAGTTTGACAGCCAGCTGATGCGATTTGGTGACTCGAAAGAGAGTGGGAAGAGCCACAGTTCCATGACAACATACTCGATTTTTCCTTGGGGTGGGTTCCCAGCTGAACACCACCAGCTTTAAGTGCTGAGCATTTTCAATTTCTATGTTGAATGTGTGGTCCATATCTAGAAATGCTGTCCTACATGTAAGCAGGGCAGTTCTTGCTTTGTTTACTGAGTCAACCTGTATTGCACAAAAGACATCTTTTGAGTCTATTCGTGGTGGTTTTAAGTCTTCAGCACCATAAAAGTGAATGCTCATGAGTCCAGAGATGTACTGAGAGCACTTGGGTTGATCAGAAAAGTTGTAGTGTCTGAAGGCATCGATATCTATTTCAGTTTTACTGCTGTTACTTGGAAGGCTCTCCTTTCCTTTCCCACATTTGCTTTCATGCCTGTGTTTACCTGATTTTGTTATAAGTTCAGGAGAGTCACCATCACTGAGGTAACCACCTTTGTTGAAGGATTTGGAGCTCCTTGAGCTTTTCTTTTTGTAGGTGTGTTGGGATGACACGCTGCTGTCGAGATGGTAACGACTTATCACTGCTGAAGTTTCCAGAAGATGGCAAAGACACTGTATGGCTTGTATCCCGGCAGCTACCTTTCAGCAGGGAAGGAGCATTATCTGAAGTATGGCTTGAAGTTCCCTTGACACTCAGCTTTCTGCTCAGCTCTGGCAGTTTTTTCATTTTCATGGAAAGCTTCCTCACAGTCCTGGGTGACTTAATTCTATCAGGGAAAGGCCAGTTGATTGATCCACTTTTTTTCAGAGGATTGGGACTTGGAGGAGAAACCTCTGTGGAGGGTATATCAGCCTTGTGCGCAAGAGCAGCTCCAGACCCTTTTAAAGAAAAGAGAAGGAATAATAATTTTCAAACTTCTCAGTAACTGCAGTTCTCAGCACTGAAAAAATAAATCTTGATCTAGGGGAAAACATGTTGATTTGTCATAACTTGATAAGAACAATTCATTGAGACAACCATCACTCATTCAGTCAGATGTACACGAGCACTCAAAGCTGTGCTCTGCTGACTCGTTCAGCCAAATTTGGCAATTCATTGTCAAAAGCCAGATTTGTTCTGCTTTATGGAGATGAAAGGGTCAGAAATTACATATAAACAAATGAGCGATCTCACCCGCTGCATTCAGCTCCATCCATTTGTGCTGCCTCCCCCAGAAAGCACACATGGCTGCATTTCTGGGGCATAGGTGCAACGAAAACAGGCTTAAATGAGAAAATACAGGAATACGGCAAAGGCACCTTTGTCTGCAAAGCAGTTAACTATATAGCCACTCCTCTTAGGTCTAGAGGAAAAGCACTCGACTGTAGTAAAGAATACGGCTCTTGTGTCTGTCCCTCTATTACCTCAAAGAGCCCTAAATCTCTCCTGTGTAGATGCAGGCAGTGTCTCACAGCTTTTCTTCCATTTCTCTCAGCTCCTCCATTCTGCTGCAGGATGGAGGAGAAAGAATACAACCAGGATTCATTCCTTCCAAAAGCTGCATCCTACACTGCCTCATTTCATTGCATGCCAACAACCTTCCATCTTCCCTGGCACCACCATCCCACAACAGGGCTTAAAGTTAGATGGTTTCCAAGTGAAGTCCTCAAGGAAAATCACCCAGCTTTTCAAGGTACCCAAAAAAAAGTTATAACAGCAAGTACTGATGCTAAAGAAGGCAAATGAAAAAGACTCCCTCAATTTAGCAGTAAATACTAGCTAATTAAGGCACACAATCAGACATAAGCCAGTATTGCACACAGACAGGAACCTGTGGTTCACCTCACGTTTCAATACTCAAGGAAGTGCAAATACGAAGTTATAGCTCAAGCCATTCTCACTTTTGCCAGCATGAGGCAGTAATGACTGTAGGAAAGGCAACCAATTTACTTGAGTTAAGGAAGCATATAAGAGGGAAACTGAAGACAAAATTATAGATATTAACAAAATTACATGAGTACTTTCACTTAGAGTCACTTTTCTCTCTCTCAAGAAACCAAGAGTGGCTCTGCTAGCAACAGCCATCTCATTCACATATCACTTTTCAAACCTTAGCAGCTCCCAACAGGACTCATGTAGCCTTGTCTGTGCAGGTCAGGGAGCTCTGGAGCCCTGAAGGACACTAACCCATGGGATGCAATTAGCACAGACAGCTCACAGAGCCTCAGACACCTTTATCCATCCGTCATCCCTCCCGCTAGCCAGGGAAAGGGAGACTATCTACAGCACAGAAAAAGAGTGTTGTTCTCACGACATACTCAGCAAACTATACTTCAAAGAGGTTTCTCTTTCGTATTTGTCAAAGACTTACTGCTTTAATTCAAATTGCTTCAAGTCCATACAGCAAATGATTCTTACAAGTTCATCCAAACCAGTTTTCACCATTGGGCCATAACTTACTTTTTATACTTCACTTAGCTGAAACAGTTAAGTCAGGCAATCTGGTCTTTCATCAAAGTCAAAGTCATCTGCCATGTTCCCCCAGCCCAAACCAAACCCTAGAAAGACTAGTTCTAGTCCCAACAGAACTTTAGCTTAAATAACTTTTACAGATAGTTGCTTGAAAGAGTATCTTTATAAAAGAAAGCTTCAGTTATGAAGAATAATGCATAGGATCTGTTTTCCAGAGCAACAGAGGAAAATTCATTTAGCCCTGCATCTCATGGAAGTAGTTCCCTTGCAGGGGAAGGGCTATTTCTAGCACGCCTGCTGTGCTGTCCTGGCAAGCAGCTAGTCAGAAATGTGGTGTTTGATAAAAGCAGACAAAGCCTTCCCTTGTACTGCAAATCACCGCATGGTCCCACTGGTGGGCTGGCCTGGAGTGCTCTATAGCAATCCGTGCCACACTGCAGCTTCTAACATTAATCTTCCCTTTCTGTCAAAAGTTTCTGGCACAGCTTTGGAAAAGCAGGCCAGCAAATTAAACTTCCCCCTCCAGCTCATTAAAACCAAAGAGTCAATCTAACACTATGACTTTTATGTGTTCAACTTCTGCTGCGTTCAGCACTAAACAGTTAAAGTGAAATATGTGGCTGGAAGAAACTTAACAGTCGAGTATTATGCAGGATGGTATTCCCATCAGCACTGAGCCACATGTTGTTCCACTAAAGCCAGCAATGTGCTGAGGTATGCATGCAATTTTAAAAGAGTGTACATGACAACTCTGAACAAGCTGCAGAAGGAGCTGCAGCACAGTCCAGTAACACTTCAGTTCCCGGCCTAGACACCCGACACAGCTTTCTCACAAGGGTGACAGCTGAACTGAGCTGCACCTCTTTCCTTGACCAAGTTACAGGACTGTGCTGCAAACAGGCTCCATGCTGTCCCTGTCCCCACTCACTCTGCCACCACACATCCCATCTCAGCAGTCAGACATTAAAAATATCATTACAGAAAGGTGGTAGAATGAGATGAAACACAAGCACCTACTGTACCAAAGCAGCATGAGATGGTCAGTTTTACATATGCACCTATCTATAAGAGAACACTCAATCACTGCAGCAACCTTGCCAAGGACGTGGTAGAGTCCCCACCACTGCAGGTTTTCATGATGCAACCAAACAGGGTGTTAGGTAGTCTCATCTAGACTCTCTTTCTACTGAAGGGTGGGCAAGATGATCACCTGATGTCCTCTCCAACCTGGGCTGTTCTGTGAGATATTGTCTTTACTGCATTTACCTTATGCCTTCTGGACGTTTTAGCAGTATGAGTAACGGGGGGAAAAAACCCAACAAACGTTTGAGAGCCCAGAGTGCTTCACAAACCCAGCCCCAACACCCCATCCATCCAGGTGTCCACAGGAAAAATTGCTACTGCCCCCTCAGTGGAGCAGGCTGGCACTGACAGACTGTACCCCTACTGCCCCACAGGAAGAGAGGAATCAGACTATCTTAAGCACTTACAATACAGCCTCTGCCAGAAATATGCTGTGATTCAGCACACTAAAAATGTTTGTCTGACCCTGCTTAATGCTGTTTACATGTACTTGGGCACATATATCACTGTCACACCCACTGCCAGCAACACATACTGTTTTACAGGCACATTTGATTACCCTATTATACATGTCACGTTCTTTATCACTTAAGGTGGAGTTTCTGAGTTATTTTAAAGTTCCTCAGAAAGCCTGTAATTTATTTTTGGGACAACAAGTTCAGGTGAATGACTAAGTCAGAAAGCTATCAATTGCTTATTACAGCAAGCTATTGAAGTACCAAATGGGTACTCTCGTAACTAATGGAAATGCTGAATTCCCACCAAAATAAACCTGATAGGTAATTTAATTTTTCCTACCATTCTCCAGACATACTTAATAAGTACACTACACCTAACACTGAAAGCATCCCTCTAGAATAATGCCATTATAGCACTGAAGATCTAATCCATTTCATTTTGAAAAAAAACCCAACATTCAGTTTACACTGAATGGTTATCACTTTCAGAACCAAAGTCTCCCTTCTGCCTATATTTTTCCTGCTTTTTTACTACGAGTATTCTTTTTTCTAAAATCAATCTAAGGACTATGTGGGAAAATGAATTAAAAATGAAAAAGCAACAGCCTTTGGCATAAGCTCTACTGATGACAAAGGCTGTTAACTTCCTCCAGTGCAGGCATAGTTCTAGACCTGTTCTGATACAAATTTCAAAGCAGAACAGTAAATGGCATTGAGATAAGAATTCATGCTATATCAAATTTCAGCAACTTCCATTTGGACATAAGGAACACATCACCTCTACCTACATCAGCAACTGGGCAAAAAGAAAATAAGAAAAAAAAAACTAAACAGAACTTTCAAAAACTGAGATAGACAGGAATTATCTATGTAACATCTTAATGACTTATCTAACTGAATGGAACAATCTCCTCTTTTAAACTGTAAAAAAAAAAGGGACCTTTACCACCATAGTCTCTGAGTTCTATCTCATATAATGCTTCAGAGTCAAGGAATGGAGAAGTTATTAAAGAGGTAAAAAAAGATCTTTAAGAACTCTGTAAAGACAGTTGGTTTTCTTTGTATACTATTCACACGGACCTTAACTAGCTTGTGATGAACCCATCAACCCAGGGGTCACTTCTATGGAGCAAAAGATATAAAATCAAATGCTTTAAATAGCACATTAATTAAAATGGGAAGTGACTACAGCATAACCCCCCAAGGCTCATGCACACCAAGAGGTGAAGGGGCTGACCACTGCCTGCTCTTCATCACAGCTGCAATCCTCAGAGCATGTTTCACTGAGGCACCTCATCACACAGAGGAACAAGCACATGTAACACCACTTTAGATCTCTGACCACGCTTACTAAGTTCAGTATCTACAAACAAGCATGAGTTTGTTGCAGGTATGTTTAAACTTTAATGATCCTGTGATGCACACAAACCACAGTTGGCTCTATTCGGGCGCTGGAGCCACACCAAGGCACTAGCAGCAGCACGTGGCTGATGCCAAGCACTGTCTGTTCAGGCCGCTCTCACAAAGATTTCCTCTCCTCACTGTCTTTCGTGGCATGAAAAGCAGCTCTGCCCCTATTTCCCCTGTCAGAGGATACAAACAGTTACTCAGGACAAATCAGAAACTGATAAAGGCAGCAACTATTTTAATTTAACTGCTCCCCTACCACAGCTGCTACATTCTTTTGCTCCTTTCACCAGCAGGTCTCTTTATGGCATTGTCACCCTATGGATCAAAGATAAATGCATTAATAAGCCCCTGACCTTCTCAAAAGCATATGCACAACCTCCCCAAAAGTCCACTGAAAAACTGGCTGGGCCCTGAAGGAGAAAGAGGGAGCAGAGGAACCTTTCTGCCACACACCTAACCATTCTGATATCTCAAACATCATGCAAATATTTCACACGAATGCTTTTCTGCCTTGTGAAACCAAAGCTCCTTGCACCTGGAAACCAGTTAAACCACAAAGCATCTTCCATCTGGGCAGAAAAAAATTATGAAAATAGTATTTGCAACAGAGGGAAATTGACAGATAGTACTTGCTGCCCAGTATACCCTGTGTATATCACTGGAAGCTTGTTTGCAACATGTAATCATGCAAAATATGTGTCTGCATGGGCCCCAAAAGATGTATTTGGAAACTAGGATAGTGGTCACAGCCTAAGTGGAGAAAGAGACTGTAGTTTTAATACGATTTCAGCCAAGCTCCAGTTGGCACATACCAGGGTTAAGTGGGAATATGGTATCAATCTTCACCTGCCATAGCACTGAAATGGAATTGTTTACGACAATTCGTACCAGGACTTTCCATCCAGACAGCTAACACAAGTACATTTTCAGTAGCAAAAGCACAGCCCAGATCCTGGGAACCTACAATGCAAAAGTCCTACCAGGATGTCTCTGAGATAAAGATACTCATGAGATGATTTCACTGATTAGCTGGACACTTATCCCAACAGTAATCCTCCCCAAAAGCAAAAATATTACGAATTCTTCAGAAGGCACTATTCAGAGCTCCATGATGTAAATCTATCACAGGAGCAAACATTACAAAGAGGGGTTTTCTTCAACAACTTGCAGGTGATACACAAATCTATAAAAACATGCAGTCACAGTTCAATCCTAAAAAGTTGTAAAGAAAATTTACTTTCACATTTTACAGTGCAAAAAAACCCCTACATATGAAAATTCTCATATTGCATTTTTAACAAAAAATATTCCTATTTTTCAATCATAACCAGTTTGCCTGTGCAAAGAGACATAATTAAAACAGCCTTCAGGGTCCTTTCCACTTAACTTCTTCTCCCACAAACTGGAGAGCATGAGAGGGCACTATGTTTCTACATTACCAACTTGGAACCAAGTTCCCCTCTTACTCTTGCCTTTTGGGTACTTGTTATAAACAAAATACATGGATTATTTTCCCAAATTCTGCTATAAGGGCGCCTTATTTCTGATCAGGTTCTTTTTAAAAGCCAACTAGGCTAGACTAATGCACTAAGGTATTACCTGACAAATCCTATTAGCATAAATGGCATTTACTGTAGAAAGTAGCCAGAGTAACACCAGGAACTAGCAATGTAAATTAAAACTATGGGACAAATTAGCACCTCTACAACTATGACCCATTTTATCTGTAACATTTACAGGAAATACCTATTTGCTGCTCTGTTTGGAAAGACTGCCAACAACCGAATTTTATAATTTATATTCTGCCTAACAAAAAGCCTCAAAAAATAACCAAAAGAAAAAAACTCCATGACCACTTTCTCTGTACAAACTTGGAAATCCAAATAAGGCAGCAACGTTAAAAGTTTTAAAGGTAAAATTGATTCCATTTTCCAAAGAGGAAGAAAACAGCAAATGACAAAACGAACAAATATATTTCCTTGGGTTTTGCACTGCACATTTTTTTTGTCTATGCTTCGCAAAATCTAATATTTAGGCTCTGATGCTGAACAATATTGACATAAATAAAATCATTTCAATTAGAAAGGCAAGCAGACTTTTCCCCAAAACAGTAATTGTTTATTTGTCAGGAGTTACTGCTCAATGTACCCAGCTCTCTATGAATACAGACATCTATTTCATACCAGTTTTGTAATTCAAACAAGGTCCTAACACAAATAAAGTTAAATTGGCCATGTTGCCATTCATGCAGTAATTTTGTATGGATGAGCTGTCATTTTAAATTTGACTGAAAATAACTGTAGATACCTTAACTGGATTAAAAAGAAGAACTAAGCCACTTCTCCATAACAAAGCCAATTACTGAGCAGCAGGGATCCACTTCATCATCAATTAATCTATTCAATGTGATCACCATCCAATACGTGCAAAAGGAGAGCTGCATTTGAAGTACCTTAATTAACTCAATGCACAGCAAACAAATCAGGAGAAATTCAGAACTTCTCTCCTGGTTTCATGAGACACTTGAAATGGGCAATTTTGCTTTCAGAAATAAAGGCTTCTTCAGTATAACAAAAACTTTGGCATTTTTCTTCTTACAGAAAGGGATTTATTTTTTTAAAAAAGAGTCGCCTATGTATTGAGAGATCCTAAAAGGGAGTCAAACACTCTGCAGGACACACATGGCTTCCCTAAATAACCATTCTTACTGACCTCTACAAACCGTCTAGAGTCCCAGCAACTACAGAAATCTACCAAAGAACATGACACTTCATCTGTTTTGCAAGCAAATAAAATTGGTTTAAGTATTTAACACATCTATAAAGTAAGCTATTTCTAACAAAATGTCCAAGAACTCTGACACACTTCACAACTACAAATATGCTTGTGTCTGCAGCACTTCCACAAAAAGAACAAAATGTGAGCCCCCAGAAGACCAAGTGCTTTTTCTTCTGCTGTTTACAGTGGTTGCTCTGGTGCCTTTGAAAACAAACCCTGTTCCCAGAAGTAATGTCCGCTCCGGGAATGCAGGCACACAGGGACACAGGGCCAGAGGCTGACAGGTCGGCAAGGCTGGATGGATGGAAGGCTCCTCCAGAGGGCGATGCACACCTGGGCTCCCATGCCAATGTTTCAGGACTCTCCGATGAGCCGGGCAGAAACACGGGCTCTCAAATGTCAGCGCAAAGAAAGTGTGAACTTTCTCCGAAGAGGGGAACCTGGAATTCCATGTCTCCTCAACTTTACGCTGTTTCTAACTTTCGACAGGATACTACAGTTAAGGTCAAGATAATACAAGGCATGTAAGTAATTTAAAATAATACCTTTTTGGAAAGGGTTAGGGGTTTTTTTTCTGCTTTTGTTTGGTGTGGTTTTATATTTGTTTGGTTTTGTTTAATAGACTGGGGAAAATCTTTAATAAGATTCTGAATTCACTCACTAATGGAATTATGGAAATGAGACTATCAAACACTGAGCCAAAGATAACAAGGAACAAAGAGGCTGGCTTCTGAAAGTGAAAACCACTCTTCTCCAGTCTATTAGATTAGCCTGAGACAGTCAACAAGACAGTAATTACAGACAGTGACGTGATGAATAGCATTTATATGGTCTTCCAGAAAGTCTTTATTAAAAAGTTCCAGACACCAAGTTAAAGAAACTTCTGCAGACATGAAGTAGCTTTGAGGCTGAAATTCAAGGCCAGGACTAGACACTACCTGACATAGGAAACCCAGTGTGTCCACACATTACCAGGCTTCATCAAGCTCGCTTTGTAAAACCTTTGTCTTCTGCAAGGTGGGGGCCAAAGAGTACAGAGGCCAACCATACCTGGACATGCCATGAACAAACTGACTGAGAAACAACTATGCAGCCATACATTTAGCAGTGTAGAGCATGTATCAGTCTCACAACCTGACTCATTTTCAGTGAACCTGATGTGCATTTGCTTGATAACATAACTGGAGAAACAGAAAAGAAAGACACAAGGTTTATTATTTGTCCAAACGACAGCAGAGGACATCTGAACGCTCTTACCTGCTGAAGGGCACTTAAAGGCAGGATTGTCATCTGCTGCCTGCACACCTGGAGCCTTGCAGGCAAACCTTGGTCGGTGCTCCTGCATATGCTCCCCGGGATGCACACCATCAGCCTGACTCGCTTCACTGCGCTGCACCATCTGACCGTTCCCGGTGCCCTCCACGGAGCGTGTGGGACCCTCATGGGGACTTAAGGCCATCCCAGAGTCACCTCCAGGGTGGGGCTTGTACCGAACTGACGGGGAGCCCACGGCAACAAGGCTCTTCACAGCAGCAGGGCGGACCCCTGGCAAGTCAGGCTCATCATCTTCAGGGATAGGGTTGTACCATATTTCTCCTTCATCGTCCGTGTCGTTATCCTCCCCCAAGTCCAGAGCAGTGCTCCTCAGCGCAGTGGGGCTCGTGGTGCTCGGCAGGGCACAGCCTCGCGCAGGGGATGTGGAGGGAGCCCATGGCACTGCAGGTTCAGGCAGCAGGATGGGAGATTTGGGTACCTGGATAACAGCCCCGTGCATTTCCTTACAGGCATTTTCTTCTTCCAGAGGAGAAGGTCGTCTGTGTGTGCTCTGCTGCAGCCAGCTGCGTTTCTTAGAAACAGTAATGCTGTTCACCTGCGGCCTGTGCTCGGGGACCTCGCTGGCCTGGGGGCACTTGGGCTCCTTCCTGCTTCTCGAAGCTATGTAAACATTTTCTATTAAATCTGCTCCCAGAAAGAAAGGCAAAAAGAGAGGGAAAGACAAATGTTTAGAACATTGTTTTGATTTTGACAGATGAACACATCTATATGCTGCTGTATAACATGTGAATTAGACCTCATCCAAAAGGACAAAAGATAAGTTGATACGATCAAAAAAATTAGATTTCAGCCTGTCAAATCAGAATGTGTACATAATTAATAAAGAGTCAGGCTTGTTTGGCTGTATTTTTAACACCATGTAATTTAGATAAATGGCAGTGAGATAACTCTGCTGAAAGGTCAGGCGTAGTTACGCAGAAATGGCTGGTTTTTTCTGCCAAGTTCAGGTACAATCTGTTTGAAAAGGTACTGCAGAGTATTTCTCCAGCTTAGTTATGTCAATGAAGAAACAGTCCCTACTTCTGGTGTAATGTACTGCTTAAATGGCTACAAAAACCCCACACAGATTCACTTCCAGATTTCTATATAAATAAAGGTGAAAATATCTCTTGCACAAAAACCTCCAGAAAGACTGTCCTTACCAGCTTTATCCTACAATTAAGACAGAAGCATCCCCTGATTTGGGGAGAATAAAACAAAACACACCATTGCAAAAGGAAGGAAGACGAAATAAGAACTGTAGAAAACTTTCTACACAGCAAAAATCTCATGCAACAACTCAACAAATTCCACGGACTGCTCCCAAAACTTTACACGGTTTCTTTAAAGCACCAGCCAAACATTTAATTGTGCATGGAAAGAGCCACTGGAGTGCCCTTGTGCCCCTGTCAGTGCACACCCGAGCCCCACGCGGCAGCAGTGCTGCAGGGCACCGCAGCAGCACATCCCGGCCAGGGAGCCGGGAGCACTTCACTAGGACTGGAAGGAAAGCTGCAAGTACATCCACATTAAAAACAGAGAACTAAGGTCACTGAACCCTTAAGCTCTTCAGCACAAGGGGACAAAACACAGACAGGGTTTGCTCAGCCACTACGGCTGAATGGGGATAACTGGGTTCTCAAAAAACAGACAACTTGTTTTCATGCAAAGCTCTCTACAACTGGAAATTCCAGATGGGAGCAGCTAATTGTTATTGCTTGAACATAATTCTCAGCAAAGAATTATTTGCACACCAATAATGGATGTTGAAATATGGACACCTCTCTGGAGGACTCAAGGAGCCCCCAAGTGTATCCAGCCAAGTTTGCTGTAGAGAGGGAGACAGGAAAAAGACTCATTTGAACATCTTTCCTTCGACCCTGTTTTTAGGTTTGTACTTTAAAGGCAAAAGAGATCCCTGATAAGGTCTGAAACACCACCATTATATTTGATGAAATATTCATCATTTGGTGATCTTTCAAAACAGTAAGGTGTACTTGTTTCGCTAAACTGCAGTATAATCATTGTTTCTGATTTGAAGAACTGACTTGTTTCAAAAAATTAACAAAATTAACTGTGCTCATTTTGAAGCCTGTGCACACCTCGGCCGAAGTGTTTTGCTACACTGGTGCATAAGAGATCAGTTAAGAGAATCTGAGGAAAACCTGAACACAGATCTCTGTTAAAAGTTTTGGTGATTTGGCAGCAATTATATTCCTTCACCCACCCACAGCCCGGAAATTTAAGCATACCATTCTAAAAGTTCCCCTTTACATACTTCCACCACTATTTCAAGTAAGAACTAAGCACAAGGATAGGAAACTAATCTGCAGTGGGCACAGGGCTATGCCTACATTTCCGAGAAGTCTGTTTGGATCAGGGACTTCTTGGACAGGCATCCTCCTGCTGGTGACAACTATCCCACAGTCCTTGCTTCGGCCCGAGAAGCAGTCCCTGCTTCAGTGACATAAATAGATGGAGCATCTGAGAGCTGCATTTCCAGAAACAAAAATATCTGCCACTTCCTGCTCTGCTGTAGAGACATGGTTCTACACTTACTCACTAGTTAAGACAGCCTACGATTCCCAAAACAGCAAGCTCCTAAGAAGTACAGTGTGCCTAAAGATACGCCCAGTGACACATCTGGCGTCAGCCTCGGGCTGCTCTTTGGTCCCAGTGATAGGAAACTCAGCTTTGTTTTCAACATCCATCCAGGCATCTCGGTAACAAGCCATCTGCAAAAGCTTACTGCAGCAACATCAATAACCACGAACCTCCAGCCTCCTGCAGCAACACTGCTGCTTGCAGAGACATGCCACCCACCACACTGCTCCAAACCACCCCGTCTCCGAACCAGCCAACGTGCTGCCAGAGGTCAATGACTGTAAATGCACACTGAAACTCTTCCAAGTGATACACTTACTGGTACATCTCCCAACTGCAGTTTCTGCAATTGCTAGCAGTATTTGCAAGCACTGCTTCCCCTCTATTCGAACTTGGCCCTGATCCTGAAAGCCCTTATGCCTGTGTTTATTTTAGTAACAAACTGCTTCACATGCAAGTATCTGCACAACCAGTGGTTCAGTGTCACACAGCAAGTCTTCAATGTCGCTAGCTGTTATAGGAACAAGCTGATTTTAAATAAATGCAAAGCTTTGAGAGTCACACTGGTCAGGCACATGCTTTTTACCTTAGAGGAACATTTCGCTTAGAAGAATGCTGCCTACTACTAACTACTAGTATTTTAATTTATATCTTTAATATTACATTTAATATAGTTAAGACCAGGCCTCCACACAAGTACAGAACATGACAATGGTTCCTTCTCAAAAGGCTTCAATATGGTGTTTAAGATGAAAAACAAAGTCAGGTGTTCCTTTCACCTTCCAGTCTATCTACAAAAAATTAAGTAAATCAGTATTTTAAATTAAGACATTATGGTAAGAATACGTGTATGGTGAGAAACCAAAGCTCCAGTGCTTCAGCTCAACTGAGTTCAAAACTGACGCTCTGCTCGGGCACAGAGAATACTCCACCAGCATACCATGCCCTGCTTTGCAGATCGTAAGGAAGCAAGGAACAGCTTTTTCCAGCCGCTCCATATATGGACCAAACAACCCACAGTTCTTCTGGCTGATACCTAAACACGTTCTCTTCCACTAAGTTTCCTGGCAAAAGTATAAAATGTAACTACTGTATTTGAATGGAACGACGGCAAAGCTGAGAATTGGTCTATGTAAGCTTTCGAGGGCAACTCTGAAAAGCGAACAAACAAACCAGTCCCAGAAGCAAACAGCAGCCAACAGTGACAAGCGGCTGCAGCAGCGAAGGAGCAGGAACGCGCGCTCAGCGCTGAGCTCCAGCACCGCTCGGCTCGGAGCTGGCGCTGCCCAGCGGAGCAGGCACGGCCGGGGCGGTGGGACCGATTCCACACCCGAGCTGGAG